TGTTCTTAAGCACTTAAAAAGGATAAACACATTTTTACTGTGATCCTTCCATTTCACTCTTCTCTTTTTCATGCTTATGTTCATTAGCTTCTGAAAAATAAATGTGACTCTTACTTTAGGTCATGCTTCTATAATACTGTGCATATGAGCTTCTGTCCATTTGGAGTACTTCCATTCAGGGTAGAAATCTACTTTTGTGAATTAAGGAGATATCACTCCATTAGAGTTTCCTAGAGATTTTGGTTAGGAGAGTGCTTTTTAAATTACATTTATGTTGTTTTAAAAAATGCCTCAAGTCTTCTGGAAACCCATGTTAAGTCTACCTGCATGCATTTTTCTGCAGAGAGGCTACTCTTTCCTTTTCTCCAAGCACACATTTTGGGGGGACTCAAAATTTAGMTTTTTAAGGGTGATGAAGAATATAGAAATCTCAACAAGTTGATTGCTTTTCAGTTTAAATAAAATATATCATTTTGAAAACGTCACAGTAGCTTTCAGGCAGACTGAAATGGAGAATAATGAAATGAATAATGAAATGGAGAATTAAATATTCATTATTTAATTCTCCATTTATAACTTGAAATTATTGTTTTKATGCTAAACAGTGGGTTTTACACTCTATCATTTAGTGCAGTTGAAGAGCAGCTCTGGAACCCCATGACTGTTCTTCTTGTCTATGGAGTTCTAAGCGTTATGTTGTTAACTGATACTCATATAAATCTTTTGACTCACAAGTGTAAGGAGTACTTCACTGTTTTTGCAGAGGTACAGTTTTTAGCTACTGCTTCTTTTTATTTTTAAATTTTTTGGGGGTTGGGGTGGGGAGGGAAGCAGATACTGAGTGAAAAAAGATAATAAATCATTTTCAGGTAAGAAACTGCCAACTAAATACTGGCCTGTTTGAATGTGATGAAAATGATGGTTTCATATCCAAAGAAAGACTGCATTAGTATCTCAAGATAGTTTCCATCTTTGCTCTTAGCTCTCCTAAGGCCAATCCAGGAATCCACATCTTTTCCTTCTCTGGAAACCACAAGGACACAAGTGATGGGTAAATAGTAATTCATCATCATCATTCCTGTCATTTTGTTAACACTTTCATATGAAGAGCATTTAAGACTATGTCAAAACCYTTTTTTGCTATTGGAGATGATACTTAATTAGATCAGTGACGTGGTAAGTCCTTTATAAAAAAATACATAGAAAGTAGTGTTACTAAGCCTCTCAAACCCATGATTTACTGCTCTGTAATCCTAGTTCACTGAAACTGTTTTAATTCTGCATTAACTCAGCTGATCTCTACTGATTTAAAGAAATGGAATAATAATGAGTGCAAATATTTCTGTTAAAAACTGAATGAAATATGGGCTTCATTTATTTATAACTCTATACTGGCAATGTTTTTAACAATAATTGTCCATCTCTAGTGTCTGAAGGCAGTTTTCTGGTTTGATCTTAGCTACTCGGAGACCAAAATTGAAATCTCCTTCAGCTTACCTGACAACTCAAGGAAGAGTGGAGGGTAAATACAATCCTTTCTTTTTTGACTCTGCTTTTACATCACTTGACATCATTTTCACCTGCTTTGAACAATACCTAGGTTTTCAATGCGCCTTGGCTTGCAGAACCACTTGCCTAACTAGTTAGATGATTCTACCTTTTGGAGCTTTTTTTCTATCACTTTAAAATCATCTTCTGTAGTGATCAAGTGACAGCTTGTGAAAAGAACATTTCACATAATATCTTGCTTGTGCAGTCTGCAGATGAAGGCTTTTTCTTTCTTTTTTTTTTTTTTTTTTTGAACGTCTTCCTAGCATGAGATTGTACAATACAACAGAAGTAGGATTTTGCCATCCACTAGTCTTGCTATAATGTGGCATAATTGTCTCAAAGTTGTCTTACAGGACATAAATCATTTCTTTTTTTGCTATTATTTTGCTGATGTGAACATCAGAATTTTAGTTGGAGGTTGCATCTGGTTTACATAGTATATACACTAAAAGAGGGAATTGACATTTTCATGTATCCTGGACAACAGTGAGCCATATTGAGTCTGTTCTCTGTCAAAATACTAGTAATAATAGCAGCAGCAATAGGTATCGTGATACACAGTTTATCCCTTGATGCTGGAAGAAGGAAGTATCAAGCCTTTGTTGTTGCCTGCATGTAAAGGAGGCCCCTACCACCTCTCCTCTTTAATCCCAAATCTGAAGCGGAGTCTTACGGTTCCAGTGTTCTCTCTGCAAAGGCTTCTTGTGTCTTTTGATGAGCTGGAAGGAGAGCTTTGACCCAGGTGACATTTAGCCATTTTGCTGCTGCTGAAGAGCCACCTAACCCCCAGTTGCAACCATGGCAAGATAGCTGGTAGCTGCATTGGTCAGGGACTCATGAAACACCATCAGAAAAAGACGTCTTGTATGAACTCTGGTCTTTTGGGGTGTTGTGAAGCAATAGTTCAAGTTGCTTGTAAGTGCAGTAGTACAACCGTTTCTCARGATGTTTTCCATGTCTGACCATAGAAAAGCCAAGACCAAGCCTGGAATCGCTCTCCACTGCTCCACTGGAAAYGACCAGAGCTGCGATGGGTTTGTAGCCTGTCATTCCCTTCCTGCTTTATTTACTTTGGCTGCACTTTTCTGTGCAGAGCTGAGCCCGCTTCCATGTTTTGTATCTCTCATGTGGCAGCACAAAAAGTGTTTGGTSTCTTCTGCCTCAGTACTAGAAGTTGTTCCATTTGCAAGCCTTGAGATTCYCTTTTGGGGCAGGTTCATGTTGCCGAGTTCATCCACTTCCAGCTTTCTCTGTTGTGGGGCTACCTCTGCCCACTGAAAAATAGCACTGAAGTTAGACTTTTTTGCTTATATTAATACTTCTAGGATCTTTCTTTCCCGTGTGCAAGAATATGCTTTCAAAATTTATATAAAATATGYTATCCAGTGTAGTACACTTCTCCCACTTCTATTTTTAAAGGGTGCTTGTTTTGTAAACAGGTATTTCTTTTACCTCACATCCTGTCCTGGTGACCAGGCAAGTCTTTTGCTGCTTTTCCCATTGCTTTTCAGTTTACTTCCTGTTTGTTTTCATCTGTTCTTTTATTTTCTATCTTCTCAGCCACATTTTCTGACATATTTGATTATCTTTCCATAATTCCTTTAACAGTCTTTTTCATTATTCGCATCACAAATACACATTATAAAATAAATTTCATGTACATTTGAAATTATTCCTGTCTGAAGACCCCAATTGCTTAATAATATCTTTAAACTTAGTCATTTTTTTCAGGTTCAGATAATGTTATCAAAATCTTTGTAACTTTTTAATAACATATCACATCTTTTTGTGTGTGTTCCAGCTTCACAGGACTCTCTTCATATTACTTCCCCTTCACAAGTATCTGCATCTGCAGAAATACCAAAAATAAAGACTGGTAAATTGTATTTGTCTATTTGTCTATCCGCAGCTAAGTAATTATTTTTTGCATCAAAGGTCTTATATTTACAGGCCGTTTGATTGCTTGATGTTGTCCAAAATGCTCATTTGCCTTCAATGTTTAGTAGCAGAGCTCAATAACTGCATTGCGATAGACCAGCTGTGTCCAAGGTCAGACAGGAAAACTTCAGGAATCTAGATCACTTTGASTGGTTTTGATATGCCAGATAGAAGAGACTGCTACCTAGATGAAGGTGTTTGTCAGCTGTGATCGTACATTTTGGTTGGARCGTTTGTCATCGGGTCCTTGTTTGTTTGTTTGTTTTGTTAGTCATGTTCTATGGCTTCCTCCATTACTAAGCATTAGGGTGTGTGCTGGAGTTTTGCTATTATTTCTCCTTGGAACTCTTCTTATAAGAGTTTTATATTTTTTTTATGAGAGAAATATATGAATGTGAAGAAAAAATATCCTAAGCTCAACAGTGAATATTTCCACAGTATTTTTATAAACTTCCTCTCTTACCTTCTCACATTTCAGTCTCCAGAAAGTTGAGTTAATTTTTGTTATTTCAAGAATATAAAATATCAATTTTATTAATTTAGTTTAAACAACAAATTACAGAATGTGTAGTGAATTAAAAGCTGTAATTCAAAATGTGTTCTACCAAGTGTTGCAGGTAGAAATTGCTGATTGTAAAATTTCTTATTAGCATATATGTTAGGCATGCTATTTTAGGTATATTTTATATATATKTCAGATATTTAGCTATATCGAGGTCTCAGATGCAGTTCAGAGCAAAAAAAAAAAAAATTGCCCTAACATGCACAGAGCAAATGACTCTTCTCACTAAGTCTACACTTAGCGAAGTTGCAGTTCCTCTTGGGGATGTGTATTAAGAGTAAGGTGACTCCTTCAAAATGGCATTTTTTGTTGGTTTCTTTTTGGTTGGAAGTCCCTTGAAACTGTTTCAACAGCACTTTAAGTGTTGCTGACATCTTATGGAGCTGTGGCATGTAGCCCTACTTTTTCTGATTTATTTGTATCTCACCTCCAATAAGAAGCTACCTTTAAAGTTATTTACGTTATCAGCAATTGCCAGTCCACCTGACTCAGACACACGGATGCCTCTGCTTTGCACAACATCTCACGTTAAGAATTACTATTGATAATTGTGATACATTAGCTTTTCAGTTAAACCATTTCTGATTTTTTTTTTTTTTTTTTTGGTTTGTTTGCTTGCTTGCTTGCTTTTTTGTTTTTGATAGCAGTTTGTGGACAATAATCATCCTGTTCATCCCTGATGTTTTTGTCATCTGCCATGCTTGTCTTCCTCTTGAATTCTCTTCAGCAGTATAGACAGATAATTCTCCCCACTCCCTGCCTTTTTCTTTTTTGCGTGAGCAAAGACATCTTGTGCCTAATACTAAGAAAGTCATCTAGGACTATTTTTCCTTTATTTCCTTGAAGAAAAGATATTAAGACACTTTATAGTTATACTTAAATGAAACAAGACTGGTGAATGATGTTTAAAGATTAATAGTAATCTTAAAATTATTTCTTCTAGGCTAATAAAGCATCTTTAGAATTTATTATACTTTCTTGGATGCATAGATATATACACATGCACATGTACTCTACTGCAGATATATTAAGCTTCTTTCTTATTAAATTATATTTTTTACTTTCATTTTGTACACAGATTTTACACCATTAAAATTAACAAAATCCTGTCAGAAAAAGCAATGAATACAACTTGACTGTCTTTTTTTCCCAAATATATTTGTAGTATTTTTAATTACGCAGATTATATTATTTTCTACTGCTCTTTTGAGTGCTTTACATCTATAATTGTGTCAGAAGTTCTATATATTTTCGGTGTTTTGTATGTTGTGTGAAGCATGCTGTCTAAAGCAATGTGAGCTTTGCTTGGCTGCCAAACTGGTTTCCATTATTATTTTAACCATATTTAACCATACAACCATATTACTTTAACCAGTAGCTTTAGCTCCTACTTTAAACCGGTACTGTTCTGTCATCAACATAAGATACAGTTATTGTGTATGGACCACTGCATTGCAAATTAGGTTCATTATAAGAATGCAAGGCTATATCTAGGAATAATAATTATAGATATTGTGACCTGTTTTTTTATAGCTTTTGATGATATTCAGCCTGTTCTGCCAAGCCCTGGGACACCCAGTAGGCCTGAAATAGCACATCCTGGACCAGGTACAATAATTACTATCTAGCTGTTACTATTCAGTAGCTCAGACCCTGCTCTAAGATTCAGAGAAATGACTGCTCTCATAATCTTCAGTTTCGATGTGCACTACGACTTGGACCCTAACACCTGTTTTTGGAAAGTAGATTTCTGATAGTGGTTGACATTAATGCCTTATCACACTTTCAATGCATATGGCAACTCATAGCCATTTGATTTTTCCATTGATATTTTGAAATATATACTACATAGATAACTGTGAGAAAATAGGACTTTGTGTCCGGAAGTACTAGTCAAAATACTCCAGTGAATGCTACAGACTGCATTCAACTGTTGTAGTGCTGTTTAAAGTATTAAGGAAGGGAGAGATGTATCCTTAAGTGCATTAAGTTGGTTAATAGTTGCAGATCCTTGATTTTTTTCAGATTGTCAGAGCACTTATAGTGCATTATAGTCCATTATAGTCAGTGCATTTCAAAAGACTGAATTCATCTGTAGCACACGAACTGATAAACTGAAAAGAGACCAAGAATTAGTGAAATAGTTCTGTTTTTCCTGTACAAAATAATTTGTTTTTTGCTTATGAAGCAACATTTTCTTCCATTAGCTCTTATGTCTTATGACTATAACCATTTCTTCCAACAGCAACAAGTGAATCTATTCTGGAATCTTTCACACCTAAAACTTCTCATCCTTTTCAGTGGCCAAGGGTAACATTAGGTAATGCTGTTCTCGCACAGTCAAAAACTCCGTGTTTGTTTTGAGCACTTCATCCCACATGAATGCATTTCTTCCAGCAGATCATTTCACATGTATAATTACTCTTTTTCCTGGTTATAGATTCTTGGTTTTCCATTGTCATTAGACTCTCATACTTCTTGATAWGTCCCTGTATGGGATTCAGGATAATTTTACTGTCCTTGGAGCAGTTATACTTGCTTCTCCATAACTTGCATGAAAAACTCCATCCTTTTATCAGTGCTTACTCTCTCATGCACACACGTGCACTCTCTCTTGCTCACTTGCYTTGTAGAAGTCTCTTAGTTCTTTTGGGGCCATCAAGTGGGTTTTTTTTGGTTTTTTTTTGTCAATGCACTTAAGTATCATCTCCATCCCTCACCTCAAATTCTGATCTCATCAGATGGCTTTTTCATCCCATATCACGTTATATTTTCTTCCATATAAACTTGTGGCATGTGTTTTTTGTTGTGGGAAAGACTTCTTAAATAATTTTTGATTGCAACTGAGCTCTTTTTTTCAGCTCCAAAAGAAACACCACTTACTCCTTCTAAACTGAAACCATCTGTTACCCCAGAAGTACAGCATGTGAAGCCTGGTAATTGTGCACATCGTTTTTAGAAGTCAGTAGAATGGAACAGATGTTCACTAAAAATAGCTCAGAAAAGCTTCCTGAAATATATAGGAACTATAGAAGACATGAGCATCTTAACCAACTTAGGTTATTATTCTAAGTTCAGTCATATTGTTTTAAGATCAGTCATATTTTTGCTGACGGATCTGGTGGTAGAATATAAACGAGCTGTGCCATTTCATAGCCTAATTGAAAGGAGGGGCAGGGAAAATACTTCAGGGCAACAGAATATTTGTTTGTTTTTTTCTTGGTGTGATTTGAATAAACAATATATATGAATTATTTTGATGACCTCTTTTGCTGGTCTCCCTTTCCCACTTCCATATGGACATAATATAGCAAATGAGATATTTGCTAGTTACAGAACTTTTGTTGATTTAGATTGCAGTATTAGCTAAGTGATTGTTGAGAAGGAGAAACTTTAAAAATGTTCATATACTTGTGATAGTTTCATTCATTAATTGTTGGAAGACTGTCATCAAGTGTGAGGTTTTGTTGTTTTCTTTCTGTTTTTTGATCAAAAACAGATTGCTGTAGTACTTTTCTTCTCTTTCAATTTGGAGTCAGGAGAGGTGAATTTACCTCCCTTAATGATTCAGGGACTGAACCTAAGAATGGGTTAAGAAATTGCAGATATAAAAATGGGAAAAACATCTCAGAAGCAGCTTCCCACATATAGCAACAAATATGCAATGCATAGTATCATAAGAAAACTAAAAAGGAAGTAGGATGTTAAACAGAAAAGTAGGACTTAATTAAAAAGTAGGACTTAATTTCAAGTTTATCTAGTTTCTAAGGAAAGGAAGGGAAAGGAAAGGAAAGGAAAGGAAAGGAAAGGAAAGGAAAGGAAAGGAAAGGAAAGGAAANGGAAAGGAAAGGAAAGGAAAGGAAAGGAAAGGAAAGGAAAGGAAAGGAAAGGAAAGGAAAGGAAAGGAAAGGAAAGGAAAGGAAAGGAAAGGAAAAAAGAACTATTGGGATGATACCACTTTTAGTTTGGTGTTGATATCTCTACTGATCCATTCATTTTGGATCATTTCATGATTTTTTTTTCCAGCCCCTAAGCCACCGCTTTTTGAGTATTGTACACATAAAACGCCTCAGATCAGTGAACATCCGAAAGCAACACTAGGTAATGAAGGTTTCTCTAGTTTGAATGTTTCTCTAGTCACTCTTCATTGTAGTCCAAGCCGCAAAGAGAATTCTGTGATTTTATCACATGGCTTTTTATGTTTGCAATCCATTTTAATTTTAAAAGAAAAGAAAGTCGGGAAGGCAGAGCAACCCCAAGTATACATTTCTCAAATTAAGAAAAAAAAATGGATTTTTTCCATATAATAAATGACTTTACAAATTTTGGCTCCCATTGGAGGGGAAGTTTTACTACATCAACAACAATTATACAGTCAGAAAATCATCAGAAGCCCATCGGAAAAACTATTGAAAGGCTAAGCACAAGGTTAATATTATGTGCATTATTCTTAAAACTATTCATGAAGGATTTCTGTGGCACTAGGTGGATTTTTATTCTAGTCTGCTATGAATCCTTCATAAACATCATTTTGACTTGAAAAGTCCTTCTCAGTCATTTCACATATCTTATTTTAGACTGTTCTTTCCATAAATGTCATATGCTTTTCCAATGTGCCAATTGCTAAGAAACTTTTTCCTTGGAGAGCAGTCTCATCCTAATGCTTTGTATTAAAAGAAGAAAATTATTTGTTAAACCACATAACAGTGACATTATGCATCACCTGATATCAGGTTAACTGTTATGTTAAATATAACAGTTATATTACTAGTTTCAGCCCATGCAAACATCAAAAGAAAGAAATCTTTCTAGAACTGATTGCTGATACTTGTACATTATTTACTATCTAAAACAGCACTATTTTTATTATTTTTAAATAATACCTGGGGAATACAGCCTTGAAGCAACCCCTCTTTATACAACTGCTTCCATGCTTTCATGCTTTTCTATTTTCCTGCCAGATAATTTCTTCAGGAAAATGAAAATTACGGATATTTTCTGCAGGTTTTGGCTCTTTTTTTTCCTTTTTTTTTTTTTTCCTTTCTGTGTGTGTGTGTGATGGCTTAAAATTGAAATGCAAAAATCAAAAGATTAGGTGGAGTCGTCATTTTGCTTCTTACGTGTCTTTTGAGAATGCATTTGCTATTTTAATTTTGATGTAATGTTCAGGTATTAATAGATATATTAAATTTATTTACTAAATTTTAAAGTGAAGGACAAGCCCTTATTTTTAGCTAGGGTAACAAAGTCTTGTAAAGATTTGTTCTCAGTAGCCATTCACTTCAGGCTTGAACTGTGTGATTCTTTCCAGTAAGAAACAAGGGAAAGGATAATCTTATAACCCAGTATATTTCTTCCAGCTCCTAAAGAAGCAAAACCTTCTACATCTAAACCTGCACCATCTGCCAGAACCAAAAAACCACGACTCAAACCTGGTAATTACTGACTATATTGTAGCACTTAAACAGTTTAATATACTTTTGTTTATTTTTTTTTCTGCATAAAGATTAGCACTCTCAATCATGAGGAAGACAGCTAAGGAGGGGACTGTGCTTTTTGATGAATATTATTTTTGTATTAAACCAAAAAAAAGAAAGAAGAAAGAAACCTTTTAACTTTAGATTTTTGCCATCTAATTAGATGACTTTGGGTTGAAACAAATTGCTTATGTCCATTTGATTTAAAAATTACAAGTTTTCTGAACTTAGATCAGCAGAGAGTCTAGAAAAGCAAATTCTCTTGCTTTGCTAATTGGATATATTAGTAACCAGTACCATAATACTTACATTGATTCARTGTTCATTTGGACATATATAGACTTATCTGAAACCATGGAAATAAGGGTAAAATTCTGGCCTGGAATTTAGTAAAGATATATTTAATAATTGCAATGAAATTTCATATTTGTACCAGTGTGGAAATTGGATGTGTGTTGGAGGATAATGTGTGTTAGAGGTTAAAAGGCATCTGGCTTTACCTAYAACTGAAGAATATATGAATACTGCCACAAAAATATTACTAGTATCCAAAGGTTACAAAGCTTGATTATAAGATCAAGTCCAACTGTAAACCCATCACCACCTGAAGTCTTGTTCAAAAAAAGAATTACCCTCTTCAGAGCAAATTATTCTCTCTGAAGCTTGCTAACTACATGGTGTTTATGTCTTGAAAGTACCTCAAATTAGTATTTTTGTTTTCTTTTTAAGGTTTAATTATAACTACATCTCCAAAGACCCTTTCTSTGTAGAAATTCAGTATAATATTAGTAGATAAAATATTCTCTGCAGATACCTATGTTGGAATATAGATCTGAATCCTGGAGGTCTTTTTTAAACAACAGAGAAAGTGACTTATCTGGGAACTCCTGAATGAAATTTTTTGCACCCCTGAACTGCCGAAGTCAATACTGTATATTGCAATGTTTCCATCATGATTGGGCTATTTTGGGTTTCTGCATAACTTCAGAAGAAGGCAATGTGATCCTGGATTTGTACATTTAACTCAAGTGTTTCCTTTCTTCATTAGTGGTTGTGTCGGTCATTCCAGCAGAGATCCTAAGAATCACTTTCTACTCATGATAAAACTTGTAAAGACTTTTCTGTGTAGGCATCTGTGAATTCTGCATTTGTTCTGTCAGAACAAATTTTGATACTCTTACTCAGGAATTCCTTTACAGAGCATAAACTATACAATACGTGAGGAGAAGCCTGGATTTTCCTTGGTGATAAAATGATCAAAAGTCAAGATCTCTATTCTGTATTCCAGTGTCTATCCAATGTCAAAGTCTTCTTACACTATGCAGAAATTTTGTTTAGATGCTCTGACTTCCACAGGGTCAGAGGAAAYAAGTATTTATTTATTTATTTTCCAAGCTTATTCCCAGGACACAGTTTTTCTGTGGGGAAAAAAAATTCTCCAGCCTCTACCTTTTCCTCAGAAAAGTCCAAACCAAGTGAAAATGTATGTTAATGATTTTTTAAAAGYATGGCCTGAAAAGAAATAATTACCAGAGTCTTTACAAATTTCCTTAGAATTGGGAGGATGTCACTGTTTAATTTTGTGTTCAAAAACAAGCAAACAAAAAGTCATTTCTGAGTGATTTGGGATTCATCAGAAGTGTACATTGAGATGAATGTCTGGTCTTAAGTTAGTTCTGGCAGAATGTTTCAGGTCATCAACTTGTAGGTTAGTATGCATATTGCTGCATTTCCCCCCCTTTCTGTGTTACTATCTAAATGTAGTACCCTGTAGTGTTGAACTGTGTCTGCATGCACATATGCTGCACTTGGTACTCAGTGCTACCCAATGAAATTAAATAGTTTCCATCTGATAACTAAACATTTCTAAGACTGATCCTTGTCATGACAGAAAAACTCTTCTACAAGTGGCTATTCAGAAAATAATTTGGCAAAAACAAGACTTGGTACTACTGACTTTTTGTTTTAAATATTTGATTTTGTGTACTCTCATTATTCTCCTTTTGACCATATCTAATACCAGCTTTCTATATTTAAGAGCAAGATCTGATCTCACTGACTASGTTGCACTGCTTTTTGTCTTGTTTTAAAAGAACCATACTATCATCTCATGTGAGCAATCCTTTATCAGAGAACAGCATGAATTTAAAGTGGATTATTTTGGGAAGAGAAGTACCGATATAAATTTAGACAACTGGTTCTCAGAGAACCTTGGGAAAAATAATAATAATTCTCTGTTGGACTTTTTTTTTTTTTTAACTTTTCAGTTCCCAGTAAGACTTCTTCCAAACCTAAGGTCTTTCTGCACCCAGAAGAACCTATAACAATGCAGGGTAATTACTCTATTCTTCCACTTATTTCTCCTGAACATGATGTGTCTTACAGTCTTTTGCTTTCTCAGAGAAGTGCCAATAGTATTAACTAGATTAATTATTAACTATAAAAAAGTGCCAGTAAATAAATTAGGAAGGTGTTGGAATTCTGGATGAAATATGTCAACTTTCTATCCATTATTTTAAACTTTTTAAAACACACTGCTGATTGTAGATATATTTAGGATTTAAAGTGAATTGCACTTTAAATTCATGTTAATGCTAAATAATTTCACAAACTTTGCTGTTCAAGGTCTCYCTGTCTTTTAACTGCTTTTGGAGACATTTCTGTTGTTACCTAATTTATTTCTCTAAATAGAAATGGAACTTTTTAAAATTTAACATCCTATAGCACTAGATAACCCACCAAGATTTTGTTCAACTACCTTTTTCATAGTATTGCAATTATTTAAATTTGATATCGTTCAGCTTTTACCCTTGAATCACTCTGGCTGAAACTCATTAAAAAATAGAAAATTTATAGATAATAAAAGGATACTAAAGTAAAAGATTTCTATGGTACAGTCTCTTCAGCTGTCTTCAGCCGTAAGRAGGAAAAAAGTTAGGGTCAGGGAAACAGAGAGGAGGATGAAGACTGTGAAATTTTCACTCACATCAGTGTTTCTCTGATAGAGACACACTTTTTATCTTTAGAGAGCAGCAAACGTTGCACAGAACAGGTAATGTTGAAACATTCAGTAATACTTTTACTTGCTTGAATCCTGGGGAGGAGGTGAATTTTCACTGTGAAGCAAGAACAGATGGACCTTATCAGAAGTTGGGAAGCAGACCTATATGCACCTATATGGCTCTCAAGAAAATGTTCTCTATTTCAGCAGCAACCGTTCCTGTGTCAATCTCTACTGAGAATCCATACACATTTGAACATCCACAAACCTCAGAGGGTAATGATTATGGGTCACCTTTAGCCATTTGTCTTTTCATCTTTTCATTTGACTGATAATATATGCAATTAGAAACACTATTTTCTTTGTTTTCATTCAAATATAGTCCAAACTCAACAACTGAAAGTATGATCTTAGTGTTTCATTTTTTCTCAGTGGTTCTAGTTGGCTCACTGAGCACCTCTGAGGTACCTTTGAAGCATAGGGATTGATAGCTTTACTGTTTGTGTGATTTTTATTTCATTTTATCTGGTAAAAATATTGTTTAGCCATGTTCTATTTTTTCTAGAATTCTGTGTAGCACAGTACAGTTTAGGCCCTGTGCCTAAAATGTGATTAAGTGTCATTTAATCTATTCAGAAGGAGTAAACTAATAGTAAAGACAAAACTACATGTATATAATAATATATATAATGTTAGCARACATACTTAGCAGTTGATTTATGGCTAGGTAGTATTAACAAATTATGGCAAGACTGCAAAAGCAAGTGAAAATTCATGGTGGTTTTGGCTATGGAACCAGACATATGACAGCTGTGCTGAAATCACAGAATACATACATACATATAGGCATATACTTTGGAATAAGCATGGAAGAATTAATATAAGGGATGAAATACATCCTGAAATAGATTTTTCTCTGGTTATTTTCCCAATTTTCCACATGCTACTTTTGTCTTAATAAAAGATCTGTGGCCTCTTGTGCTACTAATATACCAAATTAGGAACTGGGAACAGGAAAACAGTTGTTGGGATTTAATAYGGGAACAGATTTCTAAAACTGTCTGAAAATACAGCAGGCTTTCATGAACCCGTATAGTTGAATTAAATGAGAATTATATTGTTCACTTTAGTGAGGACAAGATCAATCTCACTTCTTTGCAGGTTTAGCCTTTCTGATATACAAGTTTGTGGTTTTTTATTTTAATTTATGTTTAGTTTAGTTTAAAAGTTTATGTGAGTTTATTTTATCTCTCATATTTCTTCCAGTGGCAAATGCACTTTCTAGTTTAAAAAGAAACAAATAAAAAAAAAAAATGAAGAAATCCTGCTCTTTGGATCTTATCTTGATTTTCCTTTCTGTGATTTAGTGGGTCACTACTATGTTTTGGTTGTGCAATTAAGTTTAGATTTTTCTTGAACAGAGAAATTAGAAAGCAAGTGTAGGGAGACAAGAAATGTTGGAGGAAGGGGTATGATATGGCAAACAAGTATTTCAGAAGTGTTATTGCTTGTGTATATTTCAAAGTATTCTATTAGAATATTAATCCTTAAAAAAAAAAAAAAAAAGTGCAAATATAGAAAATATAGATAGTTGGGTAACTTTTCAGAATTTGTAGCTATATCTGAGATAAACCAGACATGCTAATATCATTTATTCCAACAGTGACCAGGAAATATATGCCATTGCCACTCAGTACTCTGGTTCCCCATACTCTTGAGCATCTGCAGACTACAACTGGTAATGCTGACTAATCTTTTTTCCTGGCTTATATTTAATGTCCTTTTTAACTTCTCTCACGAATTTTCTCATCTTTTCAGAGGGAGGTCATGTAACACAGTTACGATACCTATGATATCATAGATTTCTATTCTGCTTCTTAGATGAAAATTTTGTGGCCGTCAATCAAGTCCAATATTTTTCATTTTGCCATCTGTTTTAGAAATGGATTTTCATTGAGCTGAAGCTGTAGTTAAAAATAGTCTTGAAAAAGTGCTACTCCTCCATCTCCTTATGCTATTTTTCAAGATCTTTTACTTTGCTTACTTATTAAGAATGAAAATATTTATTCCTGCTATTGTCAGTCCTAAAGTATTAATTGTATTGTTGTTGAAACTTCAGAAGGATCAAACATGTCAGTTTATGAGGAGTTAACAAAGTGCTAGTATCATAAATCAAACTAAGCAATTCTGATGTCAAATTAGCCAGTTCATAATGAAGTTCACAATAAAGATGAACCTTTACCTCTGTGTGAAACCCTCAAACCAGTGTTTCTTTTAACAATAATGCCATAATTGAAGTGGGTTTAAGTTGTGTGGTATTAGTTAGATTATTTATTATGGGAGTGGATGTCCTCAGTCTTTGGACTTTGCACAGAGCACTGTTCTCTTCAAAGGCAATGTGTCCTTAGTGGCTACTGAGAAGTGGGATTTTTCTATTGTTTTATTACTGGTTGACACCAGTAGCCCTGAACAGTATCAGCTCCAGATCAAAAGTTAACACGTTTTATGACTATCCTAGATTTCACTTAAGGTTTGATTTCTAATTAAATCTTCAGATCTGTTGACTTCAGACTTCAAAAGCTCAGTCTAGTCTTTGTAAAATTTGTCTTGGAAATTCATATTCAGAAGTTGGAACTATTGCCAATGCTAAACTCTTGTAGAATTACAGTAATATTAATATTAGGATGTTATATCCAAAGAGGCTCCACTTTCTCTTTGTTTTAGGATACATAATATTTTTTGTATAATATTTCCATAGCATTTGAACAAGAAAATATTTAGTCCATTTTAGTCATTATAGTCTGTTTTTGTAAATTAAATGAAGGTCAAGAAAAGCAATTTGAAGGAAAATTGGAGACGCTGTTTGCATTTGCTCTGCAAATTGTTTTCTGGGAAGCACTTTAACATGATTTCAGATCTTTAGCCTTTAAAACTCTTCCAAGTTTTGCTTTTTAAAACAAGGGTGCAGCCAAAAGCAAATATAATGCTTCATTAGAAAGAGTTGTCTCTAATGTCTTAGTGATTGGTTAAACTAATTAGCCAAAATGATTTGATTCTGTTCAGCTGGGTTCTCTTTTTCCAGTTGCAGTGAGTTCTACCGTAGAAATTACTTTGAAAACTCTTCTAGTGACTTTAATTGGCAAACGCAGCACTAAATAACTGTTTTCTTAGCCTCATCTCTTAGCTCGTTTTCTTTTGACTAAACATTTAGCAGCTAATGTTGCTCCAGAAGAACATCCAACTCTTATCTGTTTCTTCAGTAATTCTGCCAAGATAGTTTTGCCCATATCCTATTGGACATTTCATACAGTAATACCTACCATCATTTTTTTCCACGCATATCCATTAATACAAGCTGAAAATCACTTCCTTGTCTTCATTTCATCATTGCCAAATGTGAGTGTGTGTCTTCTATTGGACACCATTTGCTACAGTCAGTGCTTAAATGTTGATGTTTACAAAATTGTTTTTTTCCAGTATCCAGTGAATCACARTCCGTACACTGGAAGCCCTCACCTTCTAAGACCAAAACACCTCAAACAACACCTTTGCAACCTGAAGTTGGTAATGCCATTTCTTTTACAGATGTGTACCTTGAGGCCTACTGTTACTTTAGAAAGACAAAAAGTAGAAAAAAATWGATTTTTTACTTGATGGAAGGAAGCTAGTGGTTATTATGGGGTGATATTGTTTATATTAAGAAAAAGAAAACAAATTCCTTGAGAAAATATTTGGCAGAGATGCAGAATTTAATTCTGTRTTTCAGAAAGTGTTTTTTTCTTGTAAGTTGCTAGATTTTTTCCAAGTCATAATTTTTGTACCCAAAACTGCACTACTAATATTTCACAGCCTTTAACATGACTGAATGAAGATAGATTTAAAGTTCCTGGATTTTGGTCAGATGGMCGGTGCTGAACAGTATCACTTTCTTTTCTTTATTCTCATTCTAGGACCAGGGCATTTCAAAACTTCAGGGAGGGAGAAAGTGGGAAGTTCTATATTTTGGTTGTGTTTCATTATCTTCTTTTATTCTTCCCAGCTCCAGCTGAAACACAATTCATTCCTACCCAGACTAAAACATCTGCTGAGCCAGAATCACAYTCTAAGTCTGGTAATTTTATTTTATTTTATTTTTTGCAATAGCACATAGAAATATCCCCATTAATATTATTTTAACATATTTCCCTTATTGACAGGATATTTTTATAGATTCTGCCATTTCATATTTTCGATTTGTGAGTTTTTTCAGTTTGGCATAGCTTGTGAGGAGGTTGGCTTTATGATACAAATTTTGTTAGGATATAACAAGAAAAAGCTTGGAGGGTTTCTGGTTTTTGTTTGTTTTGTTTTGCTTTTGAATACCGCTACAGCTGTATCAATAGCAGTATTTTAGTCCTTAGTTTGGCTGCTTATCTTAGAGGTTAAATTCAACTATTTGGTCATGATTGGTATGGTAATTTAGAGTAGTAGCATTCTTCCCTGTGGGATCCCTGACTCCTTTGTCACCTGTGAGAGAAGAAATGTGATAACTMTTGCCTTGATCTTCCTAGGGCTTTCTCCTTTTGTATTTATATATTTTTCACTCAGTTGCTATCAAATATCTAATTTTTTTTTTTAAATTGAACCTGTATTATTAGGAACTTTAATTGTCTACAGTTTAAAAATAAATAGAATAATTTAATAATCCATATTAGTGTGGCATACTGTCAGCAGTTGCTTTTGTTCTTAACCAGTAGAATAACTTGAAATTACTTGAAGTGTATTCCGTAYTCACTGTGTGATACTATTTCTGTTACAGTCTTGGAACCCATTACATTTAGAATCGAATCGCCAGGGTCAACCATAGGTAATGATATTTCCTTAGCAAGCTGTCGTGTTTGCTTTTCTCATCACAGAAAATCACGCTGAAGTTATCAGCTTATGCCACAGGGTTCTTTCACCAAACTTCATTTTTCTTCTAGATTATTCTTTTCTTGGCATTAATAATAGTTGGGCATATGGCTGTCTTCATGGATGGAATATTTCCTTTCTGAGAAAACAAGGCTGGCAGCTCTGAATCATCTTTGTCATAATTATTTCTGTCTGTGCTAGCAATTCAAGTCCAAAAAAAAAAAAAAAAAAAAAAAGGAAGGGAAAGAAAATCAGAACTCTAAGGATGACCAAAGTTCCAGTCCTCTGCTGAGACTAACATAAATACACGGCCAGTATTCTGTTTTTTCATATCTGTCTCTGTGATATTACCTGTAAAAAAAGAATMCTTTTCTCCATCGCAGGTGTGAAGCTTCTGTGTTTGTGTGTGAAACCTGTTGTCAGGCCTTGATCGCTGTGCAATTTAATCAACTTCTTACCCACTTTTTCTTTTCCAGCTCCAAAAGAGACTCACCGTATTCCTTCTAAACCTAAAACTTCACCCAAACTTCATATCCCGCATGCCACAGGTGGTAAACTGTTTTGTGTGATTATTTCTAAAATGATTTATAATGGTTTGAAATGTATTTCTAAGCAACAATATTTATTTAAACCATTTAAAACATCTCAGGGTTCTGTTCTGCTGTGTATTCAGTGATTTGTTTGACATGTGCAGGACTAGTAAGATATTTATATGAAAGAATAAATGTCTGCTAGCTTGTGTCAGTAGAAAGAGAATAATGTTGCTTGACCCAGAAAATAATAGCAAATAGAGTGAATTCCTTGCACAGCTGAAGTTTGTATTATGACTACTTAGATGGTGGAATTCATTGTGTACTGCTTGGTATTGTCAGGGTAAATGTGATGCTTCCTTTTCAATCCACAGTTTTATCCTGGGGCATCATTTTTTTCTGCATAAGCATATAAATTACTGAGTGGAGAGCTACCATTTGTTATTTAACAAGTAAATATATATATATAAAATATATATATATATTATGAATATATATATATTATAATATATATATATTATGAATATATATATTATATATATTATGAATATATATATATTATATATATATGAATATATATATATGTACAGCAGAATTTATATATATTTACTTGTAGAATTTACTTGTGTGTATATATATATAATTTTATATATATACTTGTATAAATATATAATTTGACTATTAATATTTATGGTATTAATATTTATCTATGCAGTATTCCAAAATACTGGATTTTCATTTATTATGTCTTTAAACATGAGTTCCGTTGAATTCACTGATATGTATGAAAAAAAAAAAGACTTGGTGTTCTGTATTACTCAGAATGTCCTTTTTTTTTTTTTTTTTGTAGTAATAGAAACAGAAAATTACCAGTGTATCTAATGTCAAGATATGTTCTCTTTTAGTAAATGTGAAAAAAATCCATGATAATCACTTTTTTGAAGATATTTGAATAGTTTTGAAAATTAATGGTATCTATTAATCATGTGATTTCTTTGTTTAAAACAGTCAGAAAACTTGTTCTGTAATAACCCTGGCATAATTGAATGCTGGGAGTTGRTTATCAACTGTTTCAAAGTACAACTTAAAATGCAGCTCTTCATGAACTCAGTGCATATGTTCTTTGAATGTTCTTACTTTTGTGGCCATTTTTCTTTATTACTACTGTAGCCTGCCCTTCTCAGAAGAGAGTTTTGTATCGCAAGTATTGCATATTTGGACTGTTCTGTGTTTAAAACAAAACACTTACCAAATGTTTCTTAAGGAAASTGTAAGATACAGAACTTCATTTTTAACAACATCAACCACTTACCTTCTTGTGACAGTCTTCAAAATCCAAATAACAAAAACTGATAACAATTCTTTGATTTCACTCTTACAGAAGAATTAACACAGAAAAGAGAAGACATTTCTACTGTTTCTCTATTTCTAATGAGAGAAATGCAAGAAAACAGCATTATTTTCACATCCTTATGAAAATACTCTGTTTTATTTTTAAATTCATATCAATCTAGAGCTAATGTACACAGTCACGTACCGCAACACTCCGTAAGGCTCTTTAATAGCACAGGATCTGAAACAAGCAAGTACAATCATATATGTAACCTGCATTCAGAAATACATCACTAAGGGTAGGGCTTTGTGTTCCCCAAGAGCYGTTTTCTGAGAAAGAGAGTGATAAATAATTGGAATACAGTTGGAAGTTTGGAAGAGTGTGGAGATATTTCATCTTAAATTTCTTAGTCCCTAATTGTTTCAGATAGACTTGTTAATGTAATTGCTTTGTATGGGACAAAATATAATTTATAGTTCAATTTCTGTACACATAATACTAATTTTAAATGGAATTAATCTCTTTAATTCTCATGATAGCTTTATGCTTTGTTTTTCATACAGTCCTGGAATCGGTAACATTTAGAACTGATGAACCAAAAACAGCARTAGGTAAAAGTACTAATTACAGAGGTTACCTCATTTAGTTTTTCTTCTTGGCAGAGACCTAGCACATGCATATGTTCCTTGTTCTCCATTGTCATAATTTTTTACCATTAAATTTAGTCCTCCTTTAAGGTTTCTTTGTTATTTTGCACTAACAATTCTTATTCGTTTTATTGGTTTTCCTCGCACAATTTTTTTTCCTGTAAAGCAGATGGAAGCTCCACAATCTTGCTTTGACCATATTTCTTTATATTCAGTTTCTGCAATCTTCATCTGTTATATGAGGCTCCAAGTCAGTCATCCATCCTGGCCTTGCTTTATTTGGTCCTGTTGCAGAGACTCTCCATCATCGCCATCTCTTTGCATACCAGACATTCATACTCCATTACTCATATAAGCTTTTTGTGTCTCCAGGGGTTTGCAAGGCATGTGTTCTCTTTAAATGCTATGCCTTCTGTCAGTCTCAGGTTCTTGGACAATTTTAATAGTCATTCTTTTTTTTCAGTTCCAAAAGAAATGCACCGTTTTCCCTCCAAACCTAAAACTTCACCAAGAGCAGAGGTGCCACAAACCAAACCTGGTAAATACATTGTGTGTTTATCTTATAGTACTCATATGTGGTTTTACAAATGTGATCAGTGGAGTTCCACTATTACTTAATTTGCTTGGGTGTACTTGTTGAAGCATCTTTTGAAGGATAGGATCCAACATTGCATGCGGAATCTGTAAGCAACCTAGGAAGTTTGATAGTCTGCCTTGGGTTCTTTTTCACATTACCACTGCAGCAGTGATTTATAATTTTCTGTGCRAAGTCAATCTGCAATAGCAAAGTCTTCAGTAAAATCACAGTTTTTCTGTTTGAATGTGGATGTTTGGGAATATGAAAAAGAGAAAGAAGGATGCCATTGCAAATGAGATTTCTCCTGTGATTCTCAAATTGGGCCCTTCCAGTGTTCAGGGATTTGAGAATGTGCCATATTTTCTATGATGTCACCTACAGAGCTCAATATGGACAAATGYACAACACCAGACTAATGGACGATGGAGGAAGTTGTACAACATATACTAGCAATTGCATGAGGTACTCAAGGTATATGCAACATTAGGTGGTGCTGCTGTGGAAAATGGGCAGAAGATGACAACTCACTAAGATTCCTTTCTCTCCTCATAAATCTGCGCCTGGTTTTTGAATCAAAACTTTGAAATAAGCCAAGAAATAATACAAAGCTGAAGGGAAAAATCGCCCATAATTTCTTTGGACTCCAGATTTATATTTGTGCACTATGTTAGAGCTATTGCTTTGAGCTGGAGACAGTTCCAAGTTGTGCAATACTCTGTCGTATATTGAATTTCAAGGAGGGGTCACCATGCCTCCCTGGCTGCAATAGGGATAGTATTGTCACTGTGGAAGTAGTGATTGTAATGTTTTGATTSTTTTTGATTTTAATTAGTTGGTTTTGTATTTTATTACTTTAYGCAGTCCTGGATCCAATTATGTTTAGAACTGAGAAACCAAAGTCAACAGTAGGTAATAATACTTTCTTATTTGGCTGGTCATTCTCTCTTTCACTTTCAACTCAAGTCATTAAGAGTAGTGTTGTGAAGACTGATCACCTTTCTTTGTRTGTGCCAAATTATACAGTCAAGATTATCTGTTGCTTTTTCATCATAAGAATTGAGGTGGATCCTTGTATTTTCCAAGCTTTTATGCATAGGCTAATTTTCCTCTAATTTTTAATTCCCTCAAAATTAAATTCACTTTCTCAGTCATGCATGAGAGGGAACACCATGTTATGTAGTCATGTAGTCTGGGTGAATAGAGACTGCATGATGCAAATTTGCTTTTTCCCCTTTCTTTCCCGTCTAGTTTCAGTAAACAATTCTGTCCTTCAGAGAAGGTCTGAAAAAAGTTCTGTTCCAAGTAAACCTCAATTCTGCTCTTAAAATAGAATCAGAATGGGACCCATTCAGTTAGGACATATTCATTGTCTGTTTAATATTACAAACCATTCCAGTATAGCCTTCATTATCATGCAGTGATAACTTAATATTTGAAATTATTATTTTATTTTTCCTCCATCCTAAAKAGAACCTGAAATTCTCTCACATACTACTTGATATTTTCTCAAGCAAGATTATTTCTTTTCTCTGCAGGCTGATTTTTTTCCTGAGAAAATTTTCCTTTCTAGCACTTCCATATAACTCTCCACACAAATATCTTTGATTCAAGTCTTAGTTCTATGTTCATATTGGTCAATTGGCTTACTGGTGGTAGTGGCCAGGAAAATGTTAGTATCACATAAACCATTTTCTTTCAGCTCCTAGAGAGACACATCGTGGCCCTTCCAAACCTAGAACATCACCTACTCCACGTGTTCCTCCAACTAGAGCAAGTAAGTTTGTTGTTACTTTGTCCKTTAGTGCATGTTTAGTGAAAGTTTATCATACTGAAAATAGTCAAAATTGATGAATTTTTAAAATGTATACAGATATGTGACGAATAGGCACTGTTTTAGCATTATTGTGAAATTCTCTATAGCTGCCATGAAAGAAGTTAGTATGGATAGGTAGATATACCTGTCAATAACTTGAGCTAGAAAGATGATCAGGGGACAGGAGCATGTCCCCTGTGAGGAGAGGCTGAGAGAGCTGGGCTTGTTTAGTCTAAAGAAGAGAAGGTTGAGATGGAATCTTAGCAATGTGTAGAACAGCTTAAGCAGTATTCAGAGGAGGGGCCAGATTCTTTTCAGTGGTGGTCAGGAATAGGACAAGAGGTAACGGCCACAAACTGAAGTACARGAAGTTCTGCCTGAATATGAGGAAAAATTTCTGTGAGGGGGACAGTGCACTAGAACAGGTTGCCCAGAGAGGTTGTGGAATCTCCTTCTTGGCARATATTTATAACCCACCTAGACATGATCCTGTGCCACGAGCTCTARGTGATCCTCCTTGTGCAAGGGAGGTTGAACTAGATGATCTTGAGAGTTCCCTTCCAACCTCAACCAGTCTGTGATTCTGTGAACTACAGCAACTTACAAACTTTGTTTGAAAGAGGGATAGAGATTTAATCCAGTACTACAATGCTGCAGTTTCTTTATTTTCAGCCTGTGCACTAAAATACTATCGATCCCATTGGCATGAAATCTTTCTGATTACTTTCAAATTGAAAATATAATTTCTAGGAAGCAATTTTTTTCTTTGTAAAAATGAGTCAGGAAGATCAGAAGATCTGTGTTTAATCATCATCCTAAACACTGTGCTCAAAGCTTTGCTTATCTTTCCAGGTCCAAAAGAGAGTCGACGAGTCTCCTCAAAGCCTAAAGCCTCCCCAAGTCCAGATATATCACAGACAAGACCTGGTAAATACATTGCTATTTTGTTATCCTTGAATAGTCTTGTTTTCCTTTGAGTTGCCTTTCCTTGGTTAATAAAGAGTAACATTTAATATTACAAACAAAGCAAATTTTTAACAAAGATTACATATGTTTAAAGATTGAAAACATATATATCTTTAATGGTTGAGTTTGAGTTGTATGTGTGTGCTCTTCACACGTACAACATTACAGTTGTCACTAACAAATAACATGCATAGCTGTGTAAACTATATATGAATGTTACAACAATATTYTTGGAAGAAACTACATCTGTTTTGTGCCTATCAAAATCATCCTTGAGGATCTTCACGTGTGACTACAAACCTCTGAAACTCATACCACTCATATATCTAATCAAGTGTGCTCTGGTAATGGAATTTGATGCTTAAAATAGACTTCATAGTTCACTTGCTAGTTAAACTGCCAGTCTCTGTCATTTCTCATAGTTTGAAAGATATCAGTCAGACTCTCCTTTATGAGTATGCATTAATTGATTCTAAGAGAACTTAGAGTACACATTCATATTTGGAAAGAAATTGATCCAGTAAAATGGAGTTTTTATATTCTTTTGATGATATTTATCACTAATTCAGTGCATGTTCTTGTTTTTATTCAGTTTTGGCACCTGTAACATTTACAGTTGAAAAACCAAAGGCAACAATAGGTAAAAGCATGACCCTTATTATTTCTTTCCTTCTGCTCCTTGGACCAAAGATTATAGTTTCATCTTCTGTTTTCCATGTTATATGTTTGTGCGTGTTTTTTTCATATTTTTTCTTCTTTTTCTTTTCTTTTCTTTTTTTCTTAATTTACTCAGSTCAGTTCTACTCTTTTCCAGGTACTGAAAGATTCTTAGCTGTTTTGCTCTCTTTGCAGGCAATACCTCTTTCATTCTCCTGTACCTTGTAATTTCTTTGATTCTTACAGGAGCATTCATGTGTAGATTGCAGTTACCAGCTCTGAAATACAGATGGAAACACCTCAGCTATGACTGTCTTTCCATTTTTGTTGTCTTCAGATAAGATTTTTCTTACCTGATTGCTTCTCCACATATCTTTTTTTTCATTAGTGTCCATTTATTCCTTTTAAATTTCTGTATTCTGACTTTAATTTTGCAATCACTCACATTAAAAAAAAAATAGTTTCTTCCTTAAGGGCACAAAGAATCCAGCACCCATTCTCTTCCAGTTCTGAAGAGAATGAACTGGAATAAAACTGGTCTTTTCTTTCAGCTCCTAAAGACCTGCCACATACTCCCTTTAAACCTAAAGCAGTACCCATTCCGGATGCTTCATATACCAAACCTGGTAAATTATTTTGTCTTTTGTCAAGCTAAGGTTGCTAATTTAGCAATTGCCTTCTAGGAAATGTTCTCAACAGTAAAGCTGTTGTTACCGCTTTACCATTCTAACATTGGAAATCTCAGCAGTACTGCATTTAAGTAATATCTCTGATAGAAACTAGAATAGTTTAAGAGGTTTTGGTATTATGCTGGTATTAGAGCTGCTGCAGTACTTTGTCACACATTTTCAGTCATATGAGATTGAGGAATATCTTCTTTGTATCATGAGGTGGTTCTAATTGGAATCTGACAAATCTGTGTAAGACCACAGTGATTTCACTAAGGTTTTTTGTTTGTTTTATGTAGATATTAAAAGCAAAAATTGAAACTCTCTTAAGCATAAATATGCATGCACAAATTCCTGTTTTAAAACACTCCTGGTGGATATAGTATGGTTTTGAAATGTTTTGGAGGGAGGGCAGATAGAGGAGGAAGTGTCTCTTCATTTTTCTGAGGATTTATCCCTTTTTTTCCAACAGAAATCATTCCACCCTTCCATGAGCCAGTTACCACTATGATTCCTCATATTCCTGAAAGAACRAAGGCAACACTGGGTAATCATGTGTCTTTCATTAACGATTACTTATTTTTTCCATTCTTATTAGACAAGACATTCCTAGAGGGAGCTTGTTAAATGATATTGAAAACTAACCAGGAAGTTTTTCTAGATATCTGGTTTTCCTTTGGACTAGGGAAAGATAATAATGCATGTGTGGATTCACCCTTGGAGATTTGCTTCCTCATTTTCCAGCTATCCTTCTAGGAGACTATCCTTCCAGCTATCCTCCATCTCCTAGGAGCTGACCCAATTCCTGGAGCTGTTATATATTTTTCAGTAAAAAGGAATTTTTACTGAAAATAATAATAATGATTCCTGTGAATTATGCATCTGAAATACATGTACTGTTACACAAATATCTTTTGCAGCTTCATTCTTGAGAAAATGATCAGTGGGGTATTTTGTGCTGAAATGTATTTCTCACTGGTTTCTGATCCTATTGCATAATTTTACAGGAGAAAGTTGCAAGAAAATGAAAGAATCTCAACTATAGCATAATGTATACAAAAACAGACTAGCTATGTGGCCCTTTAAATCAAAAACCAAGTCTTAAAACATCTTCTCTCTCAACTTCTAGTCATTTCTGTTGGGAGAAGTTGCACAAATAGCTGAAACATTACCCTCCTAATTCTTATTTCTTAATTTAAATTTCAGATCTGACCCAGAAGAAGGATCACTTAAAGAATCTAAATAGTTTTGGCCAGTAGGAGCCAACAGATTACTCCATCAGTTTTTGTTAGTAATTGATTCTGTGTCAGAATTTCAGAAGCAATGCCTGGCCATGGTTTTCTAAGAATTAAATGGAGCCATTAATGTAATGTTACTGACATGTTAATATCCATGCAATAATCTGTAACTATAACAAAAAGCTATGCTTTTTCTCTTTCAGAAATAGGAAAATAAAAATACTTTTCATCATGTTAACAGCTTAATATATATTTCCTTATCACTTAGATCTTGATCTTGAGATCTGTTTATGTAACTTTGTACACTTTCTATGCCCTGTCTGTCACATTTGGACCTACCAGTTGTATTATTGAAATACAGAAAATGATTCTTCATAACAAGAGTTATGAAGAATGTACAGACTGGGACAGATTGTAAGAATTTGATTATTATTTCTTTTCTTTTGAGGATCTTTTTACACTGTTGCRGATCACAATCTTACAAGTGTTCCCTGTAAATGCTAAGATACATTTTCCAGTAAATGATACTGCATGGCAAGAATTATAACTGAAGTATTAATTTTATTAATTTTATAATTTTTTTATAAATTTATTAATTTTAAAATTAAGTTTTCACAAAAGAATTAGAAAGTTTATTTGTAGAACAAGCTTGAATCTGAAAGGCCCACTGTAAAAAATATTGTCCTCAGATATTCACGTATGGATGATGTGCAAGACAGAGGCAATTAATGTCATTGCTTTATTCTGTTTGTGAAAATATTCTTCAGTACTTCATCCAAAGCTACACATTTTTGTCTAATTTTTGAAAATTCTGTCCACATCRGTGACCATTTAATTTCTTTCTCTTTCTTTGCAGAAATGCCAACTGATTAATGTTATCTTTACACTTACATAATTTGCCTTACTGTGGATAAGATCAAAGGTGTTCTTTGTGTACTGTGAATACAATATGACCAGTTGCTTGGCTGTCTKCTTTACTTCCGAGGAACTTGGCATTTATTGTTCTGGGTGTTGGTTTGTTTTCTTTCTTTTCAGCTCCCACCGAAAAACAGTTAATTCCTATCAAACCAAAAGTTCCTGCCAAGCCAAGAGTGCCACACACCAAACCTGGTAATGGAGTCATTATTTTATGTGTTTCTGTTTAATCATTCTTTTCACCAGGCCTCAGTTCTCACGTTTTTCAGGAGCATTATTCTTAGCTGATTTTGTGCCAAATCAGATCTAGCTCTCTGAAGTCAGTGAATCCAAAATATTTAAAAACTGTGAATCCAAAATATTTTAAAATGCTGAAGATGCTAAGAGAATGCCATGCTGAAGATAATAGGAGGGTTTTTATTAGGGCATTAGTAAAGTTTTTTTCTCCTTTCCATTATGTAGATTAAATGATGAGTTAAATGTAGTAATTTGAGACTTGATGATTTTGGGGGTTAGATACGCTGAGTCCCCTTTGATTTCCAAATCTGAGAGGTTTCTCTGTGTGCATTGTCTTGCCAACAAAATACAGCAGAGCTCGCTGAAATGTGCTTTTATGCCTAGCATCTAAAATAGTCACCTATAATAAAATCAAAATAGATTTCAAATGTTAAATTCCTGTTTCAAATGTGTCTATTCCCATTTTTACCATTGTACCAAAGGAAGGTAAAGAAGTTAATAGAAAGACATTAGCTATAAACCTCTACCAACAATTTATTTTAATGTTGGTTGAGATATCTTGGAAGTTTTAGAACAGTGCAAATGCTCCTTTCTTGCCATTACAGTTTGATATTCTAAGACTCTTCGCATTTTCTCCTTAACAGCGATACATCAAACAACCCCACAACCATTTATTACAAAATCTTCTACTACCACTGAGCAGACAAGGGCAACAATGGGTAAATAAGTTTCCTTAAAGTTCAGATGCCACTATTTTTCATTTTTCAATGAAAATTTCAATTTTCAATTGAAAATGAAATTTCTAGAAATCATGCTCCGGTTTGTTACTTTGTGTAACATCATTCCACTGTCCATCATTCTGCTTACATACATGCATGTCTCCTAATACAGAAGACTCTCAGCTCTTGTGAAAGTAATGCAGAAATTGCATTGCAGCTCATCTCTATTCAGAAGCCTGTATTTCCCAGTTCTCCAACCATATTAAGTGGTCTAATTTTTCATTATAATTCTTCAGAAGAACAAGAATTGTAGCTACTAACTCAACTTATCCTTTGACACAGTATTAGAATTTCCTGTGTTTTGGACCATTATTTTGTTTCAGGTTCCAGAAACCCATGGAATTGTTATTGTCTTTTTTTACAGGCATTTCAGGCATGCACTTTCTGGGCTAGACATGGCATTGGATTATGATTCCTGAAGAATATGATGATAATCTTTCTCCTTTCTTTCAGCTCCTAAAGAAACACTGCTCATTCCTTCTAAACCCAAAACATCTGTCGGGCCAGAAGTACCACAGACTAAACCTGGTAATTTAAAGTTTGCAACTTAAAAGTGTTATTGTCGCACTGCCTTAGCAATATCTTCTGCTCCCATTCAGTTCCCTGGTTGTGTGCTACAAGTTTATCTAGAGAGAAACTAGTATCACTGATCAATAGACATTAATGAAGTTGAGAGGATGCCAAAGAGTTTTATCAATTCTCTCCAAGGAGTACAGAAGTTTAGATGGGTGGGTTTTCAAAGAGATGCTTGTTTAATTGCTGGGTAGCAACCATTAAAAACACAAAGGGTTTGTTTAATTTTAAAGAAACTATGTTGCCGTAGCTGGCTTCACTAAGTTCTTTTCTCCTTGGGGAACTTACTCTCTGAAATTAATGGAYAGGATTTTAACTCAATTTCTCAAATATTCTGGAAATTCAGATTCTGGAATCCTAGTCAAGGAAAAGTCAAACTAAGAGTACAGGTATCTCCTTCCCCTCAGTGATTCTTGCAGTAGCTACAGCAGATTCTAGATAAGTACATTTGCAATGAACAATATATGAGACTTCACCCTCACCCTGTGTTGTGGTGAGGTGTAACTATTTTCATCTAATTTACCAGGTAGATCAAAACAATTATTAGAGAAGGAGTGGCAGGATGATCATAAAAAGCAGAAAAGCAACGCTGAATTTTTCCTTATCTTTAAACTGCAGACTAATTTATTTTATTTTTATACAAATATCRTAGGTTGATGAATAATTTCATCATCGCCCCACACTTTTGTCTTTCCTTAGACTTCTATCTGTTAAGCAATAACCATATTCTTTAAAGAAATGTGCATATATTTTACCATGAAAATTAGACTGAACAGTCCAGCAGCAAGATCTGTGTTCTAAAGTGTCCTTTTGAAAGATCCTTCATAAGTAATGAAACTACATTTTAGATCTTATGAAAGATCTAAATGAATTAGAGCTATTATCAGCTATTAGAGCTGAATTAGAGCTATCATCATGCCATTGCATGCCATTGCATTAGAGCAATCATCTCACTGCAGTGAGGGAAGAATGTGTTACAGATAATAAAAATCCAAAAACTTTTAGAAAATTTTGAGAACAGTGCAAATGAGGGTGCCCAGATTGGAAGAAGCAGAATGTTTTTGCTCTGTGTTGCCTGGGAGGGCAGCAGAGCACTTGCACCTTGCACCTGGCAGCCCCAAAAGAGCCCCAGACTATTCAGAACATGCGTCTGTCTCATGTCTGTACAAGTTGTCTTAAGCAGATAGGATTTCAGGGAATGAAGGGTACAGATCCTTATTGAAACCCAACTTCTTTAATTTCACTTCTCACACAACAGTATTTTATTTCTCATAGCTCCAAGGACGACACACCTGGGATCAATTAACCTTATAACGGTTCATGTTGTTGATGGGTCCAAAATGACTTTGGGTAATGAAAATATTATGTCAGCTTATTTTTCATAAAGCTTTTCTTCCTCTGCTTTTGCAATATGRCTGTAGTTGCCTTTTAATCAACAAAAGAGTTAGTCCCAATGCAGCGCATGTACATGATGTTGCTGTTTCTAATTTTCCAGCAGTTTTGTTTGCAACTCTTTCTAGAAACAAGTATTTCATGCATAGGTCTGAGTAGTCATCTAAAAAAGAAGCAGTAGCTGATCATCTTTTCTGTTGTCTGGCTAATGGTGTATGTCTGCTCAGGCTTGGGAAGTCTAGTCTCTCCTCTGTATCACAAATTTCTGCCAGGTTTCTAGCACTGACCCTTTTGTATATTGTCTGCACATAAACAATTTGAATTTCCTGTCTACCTAAGGTCTGATATTTAAAAAGTAATCATTTGCCTTTGATAAGCAGTAATATCTTCACTTTCAGTGCCCAATGAAACATACCAGCTTTCACCGAGACCAAAAAGTCCTCTTGCAACTGAGATTCCCCAGTCAAAAACAGGTAATTGGTACCRTTTTCTTAATATTTTGCATTGAGAGTCTGTAGCTCTGAAGCAGAATCAGTACAATTTATGGTTTAATGGCCTATTCATGAAGACTATAAATCAAGTTGAAAAATATAACATCAAAATTCATTTTCTCCTCTTGGATTGTTTCTACATGTTCCATTGCCCTGAAAACCAAAGGCTGCTCAGTATAGCCTCACAAATGATACAAAGCTTTAAAACAAGTTACTGCTGTGTGTTTGGGTTCTCAGGTGCTTAGTGTTACAAGTATAAATGTAACTGCCTTCCACCTTTTTCCTTCAAATACTTAATCTAAATCTGTAAAGCATACCTCAGATAGAAATGTCAAAGACAGGTAGCATATTTTTCYGCACCTAGATGTTTTCTCTGACATTTCAAGCAGGGAAATTTTTCCTTGTGATAGATTATATAATATGGCTAGAATGGATATTGGTATCAAATATGAAACAACTACTTTTATTTATGGAAAGAAGTGCTGAGTTAGAAGCCCATATTTTGCCTTGAGATGGCAGTGACTGCTTCTTCATGTTTTCAAATTTCAATGTGATTCACACAGGTACTACCACACGTAAAATGTCAAAATTATTTGGCAAGTCAAAGGCAACACTAGGTAAAAGCTGAAGGCTTCCAGTTTTAATCTTGATGCTGAATCTACATTTTAGCAGCTTGTAGTGTGACTGCATTGAATGCTTCCAATCGTTTGTTCAGCAATATTTTAATGTTTCATGTTTTTATCTGACTATTTAATTTTTCGGGGTTCCGTTTGGTGTTTTATTTTGAGGTTTTTTGTTTGTTTGTTTGTTTTTGCAGACCCTAATTAAATGTCTTAAGGCCATGGATACCTTGCAGAGCTAACTCTGTATCCATATACAGTTGGGTAACTGGCTGTAAATATTTTTTACCTTTTCTTAAACCTAAACATGAATGTAACTGGTCAGACTGCATGATGATTGGAGTCATCTGACCACTAAAGAAACTAGCATTTTCAGCGTGCATTTTGGATTAGAACTCATAGAATTTTCATGTGTCCATTTTGCTGTTTCGCCTTGGTGCATGGACCTTTTTTTGTGGCAAATTACACTGCAATGCTGATGTTGCTTTTATGCATAGTATTTAAACTAAAGTTTATTTCTTTCAGCACCACATAAAACACGTCTCACTTCTGCAAGACCAAAGCCATCTGATAAATCACAGACTAGACCTGGTAATAATTGATTATTCAGACTGGGTTGGGGAGAGGTGAATTTAATTTTCTATTTATTTCAGTAAAATTTAGGTATTCCTGGAAAATAAGGTATTTTTCTATTTTATTCTATTTTTTTCAGTTATTCAGGTGGAACTTTCTCATTTTCAATTTGTGCCCTTGGCCTCTTGTCCTATCACTGGTCACTTGCCGCCAGAGAAAATAATAGTCTGGCCCCATCCTGTTAACACTCTCCCTTAAGACATTTTTGTACACGATGATAAGATCCTCTCTCAGCCTTCTCTTCTTCAGGCTGAACAAGCCCAACTCTCTCAGCCTTTGCTCATATGAGAGACATTCTGGTTTCCTAGTCATCTTCGTAGCCCTACGCTGGACTCTCTCCTGTAACTCCACATCCCACAACACAATACTCCAGGTGCGGCCTCACCAGAGCTGACAGAGGGGCAGGATCCGCTCCCTCGACCTGCTGGCAACACCCTCCTGATGCAGGCCAGGATCCCATTGACCTTCTTGGCCACAGGGGCAAATTGTTGCCTCATGGTCAACTTGTTGTTCACCAGGATGCCCAAGTCCTTCCCTGCAGAGCTGTTTTTCAGCAGGTCTACCCCCATTGAACAGCCTACAGATAAAACCTATCCAAATTAGGAAAAAAAATGTAAATATGTCGTCAGAATAGTTCTTTCTTTGCTAATACATAGCTGTTAGTAATGCATATATATTCATTTATTTATTCATTTATTTCCTTGCAGCTCTTAGCAGAACCACACTAGCACCCCCTAGAACAAGAACTCCTGGACTGCCAAAATGGATTGCCCCAGCAACAGGTAGAGGTGAGATTTTTTTTTTAACTTATCACTGAAAAGCAGGAACATTACTTCCTCAAATCACCTTAAGCTCTTCAAAATATTTCATTGTATTTCACTTTAGAAGATACTTGTTCAATGTAATGTATGTAATTAATATTGTTAGTCACKCCGTATATAGTTCTTCAGTGCATGCCCACCCCAGTTAAAATACATTTTATAAACCAGGCATTTATTTCTGTATATAATTATATATATATATTTATATACATATGCTTCAGTTTAAGGTGATTGAATGCTAGCAGGAAGCATAGCTCTGTTAATTTTACAGGGAGTGCTCTGAAAAACAAACATCATACTCTTCTATGTATTTTTTTTTTGGTCACTAAATAAGGGAATTCTTTTTACAGAATCGCCCCTATGTATGCTGTGATACTCTTCAGGCCATAATACTCTGTGTATTTATTCAATGTTTTTCTGACTGCTGAGGGTCTAAGAGGATTGATGATAATGTTGTTGCAAGTTGTGTATGAATGCTGAAAACATCAATCAGTTTTAGAGCGTTAACCCTGTTGTTAAAGCCGTMTAGACCTAATATGTATAGATCTATACAGCATACAATTGTATATTGTATAGAATAGTAAAATGAATTCATTGGGATACATGGCAGAGAACGGCTTCGCGACATTAATTTTGATTAAYACCATGATGTTTCTTTGATCGTGATTGCTTCTGAAACAGAATGTGAACAGAATCTACACTATAATGCTAACTAGACCACACTAACTTCATTACATTTGAAYTGATTTTTAGATGATTTTATCTAATATCTCCATTTAACATGAATCAATATTGACAGAAACAAACTGTATATATAAATGAATTGTTAGGTGAATAAACAGCATAGATTTTCCCACCCCTATTACCAGCACCTTATTTTGGACGTATGGGTAAATAATTTCAATTTCAAACACTCCCAACTCAGCATCTATTTGAAAAGCCACTTCAGTGTTTGTTGTKGTAAAGTGCTGATACCAGCACTCAGTTGCTGTGAATTTGCAGATTATTGCAACCACAGCTCACTGATGGTTTTCAGATGGTAAGCATAATAGACTGAGGAAAAAAAAAATGTACATAGTTCCAATTATTGTTTAAATCCATGTCAGAAGGCTYGGTGAGAAAGCCTTGAAGCTCAGGTGTCTTGCTAGTTGTGCAGGTGCTGAATTCATAAGGTACCTACTCATAGGGAAACTGTCTGATGCTTGGATACTTTCTCCACGGAGAAGGTTCTAAGTTAATGAATGGCAAGGTGAGAACTGTAACGTTAATTTACACATTCTTACACTTGTAAGCAGTTACAATACATTCCTAATTGCAAGGATTTACAGAAARTACTGTTTTGCTTGAGTGAAAATGACTACTTGTCTCTTTTCAATTTTATTGATCAAAATAATAATGTCAGTGCTAATTCATGAGGGGAATATACACATATTTGTTTTATACAACATTCAYTTATTATGTCAATATAAATACTGGTTTTTAATGTAACTATGAATTTAGCAAGTCCAGTATTTGCAATTCTTCATCTGTAATGCAAGTTTAAGTTAATGATCATACGCAAATTAAGCTTTTGGCTCTTCATCCACTGCTACCAACTTTGTGGTCATAYTAGCACTGCTTAAGTGTTCATTTACTCTACACATACCTTTGTTCTTTTTTTTCAGCTGTGCAATGTTTCCATAGACCAGAATTTCCAAAGTAGCTTTGATAATTTAATATCCATTGGTGTTAGATTACTCATTCCTGTAGGTAACTTGGAGAAGCCCAACATATTTCAATTTTAATAGCAAGACCTGTGAAATTTCTCATKCATTTAGATTTGACTAAAAATATGTTTTCTGTACTTTTCTAAATGGACTGTCTTTTTTTGTAGTACATAAAGGGTGGATGTCTTTACTGGAGGCAGCGCTCTTTGACCTTCCTAGTCCTTCTGGGAAATCTATCCCTTTCTAGGATGYCAGAGAAAGTTACAGTAATAAATGATCAATATCTGTAGTAGATACTGAAGAGATTCTGTTATTCACTTCTCTGCTTATAAGTTAAATTTTTATTTTCTGATTGTCAAAATGGGTAATCCATACTAGTCTCCAGTASTGTAACTTTTGAAATCACACTGTGAAACTGCATGCATACATAGTTAGTTAGTGGTAGACTCAATATTACATGTTTTTGTTCTCACAGCAGTATCTTGGCAATTTTAAAAATAAAAAAATAAAAAAAATACACATAAGCTAGCTAAATCAGTGATCTAAATGTAATAATAGACATTTAAACTGCTTTAAATGTAGTTTATTGTGCTTAATGCTGCTGGTGGTGACTGAAGTACTGCTTAAGCAATCTCGCTTTCAATGCATGCCTTAGGGTCACTATTTCCGTGCATTTGTACTAGTGCCAGCTGCCAGCTAGAACTGGAGCTTCGCTGTAGCAGCTGATGCCCCCAGAATGTCACAAGGCTGTTACCATGCTGCGCATACTGCATGCAGGCACAGCAGAGCAGGTTCCTCCTTCTAGGCTGCTTCTGGAAAACAATTCTTCTGGCATCATTTTCCTTGCTCTGTTATGTAAGCCTTTTTTTTTTTTTTCTCTCTATTTTAAAGAAATGTCCCAAAGACAGACATCTGTTATCTAGATTTTGTGTCCTGCCAAGTGAGCCCTTTAACTTAAACCTGGAGTCCAGAATCCTAACAAATAGCTGGCATTTCATTGTTTAGTCTCTCTTTCTTTGCACATTCTTAACACTCCTGATAAAGAAACTTGCAGATTTACTTACTGATACCTTTCTGTGAGCCTGCAACTTTCTTCTCAGAAATCACAAAATCACATGACATGATGAGAGAAAACCATGGGTTTTAGCAGTATCTTTCAGGTTTGCACTGTATTCTTTCCTTGATGACCAGTAAGTGCAATCCCAGGTCTTCGTATAGTGCAAGAACGGCACAATCTTGCAGCAAATGTAATGTCTGTATCCCCAAGGCTGCCTCTGTTCTCATAAACCAATATTCACAAATGAGTATTCATGCGTAGCAAAATCGTACCTATCCCTTCCAAGCAATGTGTAATTACATATGGCAAATGRAATCCCCAAGTCTACTGAAAGGATTTAGAAAAGAGGAGCATTCCACCAGCCTAGAGCCCTAAGTGTTACCAGCTGACGAAAAGCAAAAGAGCTTGGTTTTCAGTAGATGGTATATTAGAGAAATTATAAAATTTGAAGATACCAGACAACCTGAAGGGGAGGGAAGGTGAGTAGTTTGTTTATTCCATTTTGAAATTAGTACATTTTTCTCTGTGCTTAGCTGTGCCAGATCTCTAAGCTGATCAGAATCCTTAACAGGACTGTAAGAAACTGTGTTTTCAGGCTTCCCTTTAGCCATTATATGATTTTTTCTGTCTTTGTAGAAGAGGATTACTTTTATTGACAAGCTGTGGCTACTCTGTCATTCTAAGACCAGTTTGTGGGTGGGTTTTTGGTTTTGGTTTTGTTTGCAACTTCTTGGCTGTGTGGGTAGTGATGCTGAATATGCTCCAGTTCGTCTTCCTCATTGCACTCATCAGCATCAGTGCAAAGGTATTCCACCCCATGCAGAGTGAGCTTGGCAGCTGCAGGACCCAGATGCTAAGCTGTGGAATTTGTTTTTTCCAGCAGCAGCACACGGGTTTGTGGCTGGTTTCCTGGCAGGCTTTCTGGTCTCCTGGCTGATGTGCTGTTAGCTGAAGTGCCAGGTGGTAAACTTGACTGTGAGAAAAGGTCRGGCTGCATCCTTTCGACTAGATTTTTCTCTTAGTTTTCTGTTGTGTTTTAAGCCACATTTTCAAGAATTTAAATATAATAGGATGGCTTTTCTCAGTATACATTTGGTATACATTTTCTCAGTATACATCTTGGTATACGTAATTTATGTTATCATCCCCAGTGAATATTTGATWTAATCTAAACCACTTAAAAATGTTCTCAATCTGCTAAACTTCCAAGCAATCTATTCTTCAGCAACTTTCCCATTTCCCATTGAGTCAGATAGCTGATTTTCTGCATAACAGACTTTATATTCTGCATTCCTTTTAATTTTAAATCTGTGGATGTATAATGAAGTTTTTGAGGAACTCAAATATTGAGGTGTTTCAATTTGTCTCATCATGGGTGCCTTTTCAAATTACTCCCTGAATATGATCTAACCCATGAATGGTATTCTAGCTCTTAAGGCTGCAGTGGTTACTTTTAGGTGTTCCAAACCCCACTAATATTTCCAGGGAAAAAAGATGAAAGTAAAGAAAACATAAACACACATGCAAGTAATACATCTATTCTTAGTTCTATTAAAAGTTTGGATGAACATGATAAGATGAAATGCTTATAATAAACCAGTTACATTAGTAAGCATTAAGCAAGTGCTCTGATAAACAGAGCAGGCTGTTTAATAGTTGCAGATACATTGTGTGTAAACACAGGGAAACTTTGATGTGGCTTTAAAGTGCACGGAATCATTCAGACTGGAGATATTTTTTCAACAGACAAGTGTTGTGGCTTAATCAACTTTATCCTTGAAACTTAGACTTTGTTTTCACTATTACATCAGTAATTGTAGTGCAAGTTTCTGCAAAAGATTAGTTTTCGTATCTGGAATGTATACAACATTTTTTTCATTGTTAGCTGCTATAACTCAGGAAAGATTCTCTAGACATAATAAGCGGCAGAACAATATTAGACTTATATATTTGGGTGATTTAGTCAATGTTCTACTGTATTTTGTTGGGGTATTTATTGTGGCGAGTAATCAAGAAACTATATATCATGTATGACCTACAGTTTACAACATTTGTTTTTTTATTAAAGCTGATGTTCATCTTCTCATACATCTTTTCCTATTCATGTGATTAACACCCTGGTGCTTTCTGTACCTGAAGTTCTCATTAGGTACATTCAATGTCTGAAGAGAGCAGTTACATCAAAACCAGCCATTTAGAAAAGATGTCTTTAGAAGTCTTAGTTGCAGGCACCAAAGTATCTGTGTCCTGTTTCCAGCTTATTACAAGTGTCATTTTGTTAATCTTCAGCAAATTAGCAAATACTTCTATACTGTTATTCTCCCCTGTGAAAAATGCTCATTTCTTAAGAGAGTGCAGCATTTCAGTAGTCTCGTTTGAGTGTTGTGCCACTGGATTCCTAATATATCCATAGCAAGAATGGACAAATATCAAAATAATTGAATAATATTCTTCTTTGTTTTGAAACAAAGTTTTTGTTTTGATTTGTATAATCTCAAAACAAGATGAGCACTAGTTTGTAAAATTTATGAAACCTTTGGCTGAAACATTTACATCAGATTGCAATAATCTCTGAATTTGATCATTTGATCCTCAGATTTTTTTAGTCAATACAGCAACTTTCTGGGTTATTTTTCAAGTCATGAAGAATAGCTGTTAATATTCCGACTGGATAGTCTCTCGTTCTCCCCAAGACCAGTAAATTTGCAGAGAATGAAACAGTCTGTTGTGACAAGCTGTTTTTTCTAGTAGTGTACTGAATAAAATTAGTACAAGGGTTAATTTTTCACAAACCTGTCTTCTCAGTCCACCATATGTAGAATTTTTCTAAAGGATTATACTTTTTTGTATAGGGAAGGTGTATTAATTTAACAATTTGGCCACCCTATAAATGTCAGTGTGTGAAATAGTTTTTTAGAATAGGAATAATTGTGTTGATCTTTTTAACATCATGTATTTTGTGTATGTTCGGGGTTTTGGTTTGGTCTCCACTAGTCCATTTATGATATATGTTTGGTTCAGAAATTCTTTAGCCATTCAGTATTGAGACTAACCAAAAATCTTTTTKGGGGAGCAAACAAGAACTTAGCCCTTTAGAAGAATCACAGGGACTTTATTCTATACCCTGGAGAAAATAAATCTATGTCTGTACTTACTTTCCCACAAATGTTGATCTCATTTATCTCTTCATCCTGTTCATTTTCCCTTTCTAAACATACCTTTTACATGGAATGTTGAAAATTTTTAAAGCACAGACTCTTTAGATGAACACCATTTTTTTCTTACCAGAAAAGGAAGACAATCATGGTAGTTAGACTTCTGTAAAAATATGGTAACACATGTGAGTTTTGCACTTAATGTTAGCTGGAACTTGAATATCAACTGTACAGAAGGATTCTGTTACTTGTTCCTAGCATGTAAATATTCATTTATTTCCCTTTAATTTCACAGATGATGTATATACACCTGAAGATATTGTCAAACTAATTGGTGTGGATATAGGAAAACCTGCAGAACATAGTGATACTTGGGAAAAGACATTTTCTGGTAAGGTTAATAAGTATAACAATTCTTAATAATTATGGAAAAATAAAACCATTTCCTTTTCTACATGAAAACACCTACACTGAAGAAAATGAAATAGCTAAGCCATCCTTATCAGAACACATTCCTCTGGTTTCAACATGCTACTGAAAAGATAAAAATCAGAATATTTTGTGGCTAGTGGTTCATATATGGCATATAGTAGTGACTACCACCACCAGTATTTATTGTGTTTTTATGGGCAGACAGCCACATTATTGTAAGCACTAGTTTTTTTTTTTTCACACTTGCAGTTTCTAGATAGCAAGGGAAGAATACATTACAAAATTATCCTCTGCTTATGAGATTGATTTGTTGACTTGTTAGAACTGATAGGAAAATTAAAATGTTAGGATTGAGGTGAAATAAAAAGTTTGCGTGTACAAGATTGTGGTTCATCTTCATGTGGCACACCAGGCTTTAAAGTTTTTTAGTTCTTGCAAGAGAATTTCTTTGCTTCATTAACATAACCAAGTCCAAATCTTGTTTTTAACTACTCTTTTTACTGGCATTAAAAAAGAAAAATAAATTGATTTTTTTTTCTATAGCTGCTCTTTTAGTTAAGTTTGTCTTTGAAAATATACTGTGCCTAAAAGTGCACTTGCAAAAATATGCCTGTTACTGAAATGTAAACTACCATTTGTTCCTTTTGCTACTGAATTTTGTAACTTAACAGTGCAAAGATAACAGCCTAGGTTAGCAACTCAGTTCTGATGAGATGTTTCATCTTTCAAAGTTTAATAAATCTTAAGATTGTGCTTAACAAAGATTAAGTCCAGAGGAATATACTATTAGTAGCAGCTGGATCCAGACCATAAACTGAAGTCAAGGATGGCTCTGTTTCTTTTTATTACTGAATGTCAGACGACGGTGTGTACTTAAGTAAATCCAACCTGTGATTTGCAGAGTTTGGAAAAAATTTTATGCACATGAATTTCAAGGAACATCTACATCTGTTTTTACTCATCATATGACACTAGATTTTAAAGTTAAGCTTTTAGAGCTTTGAAGTAATCCAATACCTTGGACTCTAGTCATAACAGACAGTTGGGTATACTTGTGAAATTAGCTGCTGCTATTTCATAGTGTTCTCATGTAGTTTTACAATTGAAGTTCTCTTTATGAGACCTCAATATGCATATCAAAATTCAGAATTAATCACACATTGCCATAAGGTAAACGGTACTTGACTTCTGTTTTTAAATAAATTGACTGAGTTTTCTAATCTTTAGAAGGCCGTTCTCTGAAACTCTATGGCATTTATGACTTTCATGAGATACGAAAAAGATGTGTTGGAGCACAGAGGAATTAACCCTGACATGTTCAGAGCCTAATCCAAATGGCTGTTCACCATCCTTTCTTACAGAGTGAGAGAAAGTCAATGAAATATCCTGCCTGTCCACAAAGAAATACTGAGAGTATATAAATCCAAGATGTTTGTAATGTGGCTATCCTACTAGGAAGCAGACTATCATAAAATTCCTAAATTCTTCAGCTTACAAATTCTGTCTCTACACATAGTTAATTATCATCATCAACAACAAATATCTCCCAAACGAATGCAGAAGCAGTAGAAGTGAAGAGTAGAGATTCTTGTTTTACCAGAGTGCAGTACAATAGATTCAAGTGTGCTACAATCAATTGAATGTCGTATTTTGAATTGTATGTATTATTGTGGTTGTATCATTCAGAAGGTACAGTAGAAATCACTGATAAATCAGAGCTTGCCCATTTGACACCTTAGATATCTCGGACAATTCCATTCCTTAAATATATATCAAGGAGAGAGAATGTACATGGTACTGAGTAGCTAAATCTAGATTTAACTACTTAAAATGACTTAAAAATACCAAAAAAATCCTTCTTTTTTCTGGTCTTTAAGCCTTCTTTTTTAATCATCTGCATCTGGATATTAAAATTTAATGTAAAACTTGAAAATTTTCAGAACTGCTCAAGGTTCTTGAAGTAGATACACAGTAAACAATGGCTTCATTTCTTGTGTGGTGAGATAAACTCATTGTGTTTTATAAATGACTGCACAAGTCCAAAAGAAAAGAGGAACAGAGAAAGATGGAGATGTTCTTGTTTGTATGTTGTATTYCTGAAAAGGTTTTCCCAAATAAATCTTTGGATTTGTACCCTTCTCGCTCACAGTCGGTCTGTTTATAGGGTAAACTAGAGTCTAAAAAATAGGGTCTGAAGTATTCCACATAGCCAGTAAGTCAGTATGAGGCAACTTGCAGATTTGTTGACACTAGCAGAATTACAGGAATTATAATTACTCTTGGAGATTTTTTCCTGTTAAGTACAAGCAGTTTTTTGGTGTATAAACATATTATATTCTTATGTATACGTATAAACATATATATGCTTATATGTATAAACATATATATGCTACATTTTTTCAAAGGAGAGAAATACAGAGGTAAATAGTGGAATAAAAATTCTTTCCTTTGCATTTCCTTGGCATAATATAATCCTTTGCAATTGCCTAGGAAATAAAGGAAAATGTTCTGCTGCTATAAATTAACTGACTTAGTCTCTCCTTTCAGACTTCACTTTCAAATGACCTAAATGACCTTACCAGATAAACTTCAATAGTTGTTAGCTGGAAATGTGCATTAAAAGAACCTGGCCAGTTGCTTGAGTTTCTCTCAGTAACTGTTTCTAGCCATGTCAGCGCATGAATGGACAGTGACTTCTTTGTTTTTCACTTTTGAATGGTATAGGATAACATATTCCGGACTGTAATTTCCCTTTTGCTTCATCTTTTGCTTTAAGCCAAAGACAACTGTTTTTTTTTTCTGTTAGAACGTACAAAGTTCCATGGTTTTTGTGAGTAGGAAACTGAAAAAGTTTCCAGATGCACTGAGATGGTGTTTATTGCAGGAAGAAGTATCCTGATATTCAGATATGCAACACTGCTTGAGAGGTTGTAATACAGCTTGCAGTGGGTGTCAGATTTTATGTCACTTGAGGCTAAAGAATTAACAACACTGTTCTGTGATGTCTTTCAGTAACTACATCACCCGGCCCTCACCGTCCTCCAGTACCTCCTGTCAGGCCCACGCCAATGCGAAGAAAGCCTCTGCCTCCAAACACAGTGACTGGTAAACCAGGGAGTCCAGGTATCTCGCCCCCTTCAAAGTACATATGTTATCCTATAGGAGATACTGAAATGCTTAGCTGCACATGGGAGAATTTTGCTGTGTAGGTTCTTCAACCAAAGGTGATCTCTACAGAAGCTGATTTCTGGAACATACGTGCCTTATGTCTTTTGTTCTTCATTCACATTTCTGTTTTTCTTTTGTTTTTCTCACCTGGGGAATCATGCCTGGAGGCAAAATAACATAATGCAAGTCATGATGAAGTTTCCTTTAAGTTTCCTACCTTAAGAACATTTTATGTCTACTTACATCAACTACTGTCTATTTTATGTCTTTGCATTTTACTTTATGCATGTGTCAGATGGGAGATATCCAATATCATGCTTCAGTACAGACCAACAGCTCGTGAGGAGCGGCTGGTATTTTTAAGGGAATTCTGTYCCATATGTATTGCATATCCATTAACCGTTGTAAATAATTTGAGTTAATAACATCCAGAAGACAAACTGCACTGTGAAGTAGAGCGAGGTGAGCTTGTGGAAAGAGCAGTTYAGCTTCATTAAAATGCTACAATGTTTCTGCTTCTTAATATTGGGAAAAGAATAATCCAAATCTTTCACATCTCTAATTTTATTTTCATTTGGCCTTGTAGTTAAACTTCAGTGTCTTTACATCTGTTTTGTCTGCATATTAGAATCCATAGGTTAGCATTGTTCCAGATAGTCAGAAAACATCATATTTTTATGGATAGCATCATCAGAGATACTCCTCTCTCAACATTAATTTCTGTAGACCAATGGTAGAATAGAAAGGTCTTGTCTTTATTTCTTATCCCCCTTTTTGGTTTGTTTCATTGAAGTTTTGTGTGCTATTAAAGAAGAGAGTTTTATATATTTTTACATTTTCTTGAAAGCAAAGACTACCTTTCTGTTTGTCTACTGCTCCTTTTGTCCTCTCACTCCTTGCTCATCTACAAAAAGCTCTTCCCTGTCTACTTCTGCAGATGTCCTTGTGAGAAAGCTTATTCCTGTGACTAGTCTTTACGCTAGTTATGTCGGGACACAAATAAATCTTCGGGATTATGGGTAGCAAATCAGAAGCAGGAACCTCAAAGCTGCTGAAACAAGCTGCACATTTACTCAACAGCAGAGCCAATATAGAAATGTATTGCCCATGCTTGCTGTTGGCTGGAAGAGTTTCCTTAGTAATAGCTACAGCAAAAATAAAAAGCATGGTCAATCTTAAGGTGTGGCACACAACAAAAATTGACCTAATACATGTTCTTTGGCTTGTAATGGAGCCTACGATAATTTTCTCCATTAAGTCTCTAATTCATCTACCAGTGTTTTGAAATTTCATCTTTTTTTTTTTTTTTYCCCACTCACTACAGGTCAGTTTATGAGGTAATCTGCTGCTACCATACCTTTCTAGATATTCAAGATGGAATAAATTGGTTAGATGATCTGGTCCTTCCTTGTGGGGACAGATGCAGATTTTCCTTAATCTGTATTTCCTAGTTTCTATCCAGCTTAGTTTTAAACATCGTAATTGAGCTTCTACTAATTCTCTGGAGAGACTGTTTCACAGCCTTCACAGGAAAAATTTGCCTCAATGTTCTTTTTGGAATTTCTTTTTCACAAAATTTTGTCCTACATCTCTTTCTCATTAACTCCATGATTAATTTCTTACTTACATCTTTCTTACTCTTCCACTAGATAAGTATTATGGAAAGATTTATAAACAGAGAACAGAAGTAAGAATGAAAGAAAAAGAATAATAAAACAAAAACTGAGTTCCAAAATCTTTTTGAACCTTGACTAAAGTGAGAATCTTAATAAATTTCGACTTTTACTTCTACTTTTTTTTTTGACCTAGTTTATCAAAGTTCTGGCTATTCAGTCACCATGTTCTTACGCGTAATCTGTGCAAGGAAGATGACTATATTATGTGTTTTTCAACATTTGGGGAGTGAGATTTAGTAATCATGCTACTTCAAACTTTGTGCATGTGGTTCTGATCTTCCACAGCTGTTTTGAAACAGCTTACCATGAATTTTTACCATTTTACCATTTACCATGGATTGGATATCTCTTGGAAACTTTTTTTCATTGCTAATTGATGCTCACTGACAAATAAAAATAATTTCATGTAATCTAAAATCATTTTTGAATATTTGAATAGATATTTAATTATCGGAAAGAATGTTGCTTCTAACAATCAGCTTTGTCAAAACTAATGGTGCTTACTACAGAAGAGATCAGACCTTTTTTCCTTTGAGGCCTGTAATACCATTAACAGTGAAACTGTTGGACTTCATTGCATTTTTCTTAAGTGTGTTTGAAGTGCATCTAAAGTTGTTCAGAGGAAGTTCCAAAGCCTCCAAAGATGTTGGAGCTAAAGAACTAAAACTGCTAATGTAGCCAATACTTAAGAACTCTGTTTTTCAATATCTACATTCCTCCTCTGGCCTTACTAATATATGTGTTGTATTGCCTGCGGAAATGAAGGACCCTTAGCTGTATTTGAGTGGAAGAATACAAGTTTCATCTCCTGACTTAAGATCTTCTGCCATGCATTCTGTGAAAGGATGTTATCTTGATTATTTGTGTCTCTTCTCTAGGCTGTGTAGGATGCCTTCCATCCTTATAGCCAGGTCATGCTCTAAGTGAATGAGACCTTCAAAAAGAATCTTTTTCTTGCTAGAAGGAAGAACTTTAGACAATCAGGACAAATCCAACTGGAAACTGTTGCATATGTACTGATAAAACACCATGTTTGAGATGAAAATATGCTTTCCTCCTCAATTCCTCCTCAATTCATCATCCCACTTGCCCCTTGAAGTAGCTTTCAGAAATCTGACTTCTGTTAGAAAATCAAAAAGCTGTTTCACTATTTTAAAAAGTAAATGCCTTGTTGCCACAAGCTCCTCCTTCTCCTTTCTCTTTATAGCTAAACCTGCTGGGCCCACAACACTTGTGAAGACAGGAGTTCCATATAAGACACCAACAGCTTCTGCAACTCCAGATTATTATGGTGAGTACATTATATATGTTTTTCTTTCTATTACATTTTCTTTTTTAAAAAAATATTTTCCTGTAGTTCCTTTTTTAATGTATTTAATTAGTATAAAAAGAACTTTGTATGGCACAATTCTGATTTCCTCCAGTGACACTTTGTGTCTTCAATAAATTGACAGAATTCTTCTGCTTATCTTCTGATTTGTATCTTTATAAATGGTGCTGTATGACTGTCCTTTTCATCTTCCCAGAAACCAATGTATGCTTAGCAGGCTTTCAACACTATTCACTGACTAGTTTGAATCAGTGAAGGTAGCACCTAAGTGACTTCCTTACCTGAACATTTCATTTTGCATAGGACATAAATTATTAATTTATTTAATTAGGACTTGACAGTCTTTGTCAGTGATCAATATGGTTTTGGTGTTGTATATACTTGACTGATCTGCCCATTATTTAGACAGAAAAAAAACAATGTAACCACATGGTGATCAGTTGACAATTAGTCCTCTATAAAATTAAGAGTAAGCTACAAAGGAGAGCTGGGCCTGTTCAGCCTGAAGAAGAGAAGGCTGATGGGAATCTATCCAGTGTCTATAAGCACCTCAAGGGAGCGAGTGAGGAGGATGGGGTGGCCTCTTTTCAGTGGTGGTCACTGATAGGACTAGAGGAAACAGCCGTAAACTGAAGCCCCAAAAGTTCCACAGGAACTTAAGGAAAAAWTTATTAACAGTGAGGGTGACAGAGCCCTGGAACAGGCTGCCCAGGGAGATTGGAGAGTCTCCTTCTCTGGAGATCTTCAAAACCCTCTAGGACGCAGCCCTGTGCCACGTGCCCTGGGTGACCCTGCATGTGCAGGGGGCTTGGACTAGATGAGCTCTAAAAGTCCCTTCCTTAAGGATGCTATGATTCTATGACACAAGTTAAGATCTAAATTGTCTTGGCATGACATAGAAAAAAAGGGTGAAGGAATGCTCTGAATTAATATTTGAGACAAAATATGTAGGTTTTGGTATACTGGCGTAAATTATGCTGATGTTAATTTTAGTCAATTTATAGCAGTTCTAGAACTCTTGTCTCTTTATAATGATTTGAATTTACGCTGGCCCTTGTTGATCAATAAAGCAAGCTAGATGCTAGATTTACAAAAATGATTGCTGTGAATTTATGGTATGTCCCATCCACTGAGGTCTTAAAATTTCACATGCTTCAGTTTGACCTTTGTTTGACCAGAAAATAAAAGTTCAATTAAATGATTACAAAGCTCTCTCTCCTTCTCAAAWATATGTGCATTTTTTCATCTATGACAAAAATCTAGACAGAAGTGACAGATAACTTTAACAGAAATAGTTTTTAAGAATAAAATGGGGCCTTACGTGCAAATTGCTGAGTCACATTTTAAGGCAACAGCATGAAGCAGTAATATTGTACAACAYATTTTCAGGAGCTCTATATGAAAAGTGAGAGGCACATGCAAAATGCCTTTTCTGAAGCAAAATACATTATTTTGTCAAACATCTTCAAATTTTCCACATGAATTGTGATATTGGATGACTTTTCATTGTAATAGCTCTAAATTCTGTCAGGCAGTGTTTATATCTATGATAAGACTGTATTCAGTATAATGACTTTTTACCATAACATTTATGTCATGAGCTTTGACTGCTTTAGTACATTTCTGTTCATCACTATGTTTGCATTTGGTTTCTTTCAGTTTCTGTGCACTGTATGCTCTGAAGAAGGAGATTGCCATAACAGTGTTATATATTTTCTGAGCATGAACCAAGCCCCAAGCTAAACAGTCAGCGCAGTGCAAAAAGATTTTAAAAGGTCTAAAGTGCATTTTACCTATATTGCATGAGTTGAATCCAGCAGCAGTTGCAAACTGCCTGTTGTGATTTTAACTATCTTTATATTAGCAGATGACTAAGGAGTTTACTTAGCACCACAGCCGAAGTAAGGTCTTTAAAAGGAAAAAATACAAATCTGGCTCTAAAGGTGTACCATAGAGAAGTTTTTTGAGTGACAATGTAAAATGTCAAATGAGTTGTGAGATACTGAAGTTGTAACACTAATAATTCACACTTACTGTATATTGTATTGTAACTTTATCTCCCGCAGTTGACGCAACGGTCTTCAGCTCAAGTCCTACATCAGAAACTGATTCCTCAGGCAAGCCAAGATACCAAGGTATGATTTTAATAGCTGCAGTATTTGCGTTTGGGGGAACATATGAAGACTGGCCTATCATATCAAAATTACCTATCCTCTTTCATTCTTTGAGGGTCAAAGCATTGTGTGATTCAATTCCATTTTAGTATCGGATGGAAGGTCTTTGGGTGTACTATGAGCATATTCTTTACTAAATTTTACTTAAATAATCTTCTCTTTCCATCCCTTCTACCACTCCCTATGTTACAGTTCAACAGACAAATATGTGTGGCTGTGTGTATAAGAAGTTGTACAGCTTCAGTAATCAACAATATCAACGCAAGTTGATTTTTTTTTTTTCAGTGACAATTTTGGCATTTGCTTTCAGAACTGCGAGTTTAATGGTTGAATGACTTTAGGCTAAACTTGTTATTCCTTCTGGTGAAAGTGTGATGGCTGTCATCTCTTTGTATTAGCTGCAGATGGAGTTGTGTGGTGTTTTACTACAAAAAGAACAAAGTTAGTGCATATCCCCTCTAATGCCCGCTCAGTGATATTTCTTTAGTGATGTCAATAACAATAATGGAAATGGAATTTGGATTCCATATCTAACAGTGGAAAAAAAAATAAAAACAAAAATGAAAAACAACAATAAAAAGTAACCAAGAAGCTTAAGGAGGAGTGTTGAATGTGTTGTTTTCATTCTTCAACTTTTGTGCTTGATTTTTTTTTTCATGCAGGTTTTCTACTTCATGACCTGAATTGGAAGTTATGTGCTAGGTGGAATGGTATCCATACTTTGTCAAAGCACTCTATATTGAATACCACCTCTTTTCTATTGTTCKTAGCCCCTCATGTCAAGTACATGAAGAAAGATGAAGATGTGCCTTGTTCTATCACAAGCTCCCTTGAACACTTCCCTCAAGAAGAAGGCGGCAGCAAGGAAGAAGCTACTCGTCCTCCACAAAACCCTCCAACCAATCTCACAGTGGTGACAGTCGAGGGCTGCCCAACTTTTGTCATATTGGATTGGGAAAAACCAGACAATGATACTGTTACTGGTCAGTTTGATTTCTTTATTCATTTTTTTTCAGAATGTAATGTTTTCAAATTGGTTTTACTTTGAATGACACTGGATTTGTGTTGTATATAGAATATGATTACCCCAAGAGAGTCTCATACTCAAGTTCTTTTACTCTATATTACTACTGACTCCAGTGAGGATAAGAAAATGCTACCAGATTAGGAATGGAGTTTTACATGGTTGTATCATTGACATGTGAGATGATGTGAAAAAAGATGCATCTYGGGCAGTTTGGCACTGCCTTTTTTATTCACGGGATATACTTTTGTCGCTGTTGTCATTTTGCAGCAGCCTCCATAAACCTTGATGTGATTGGATTATCTGTATGTTTTCTTGGAGGGAGAACAACCTGTTTTCCTAGAGCATATTAATGMACCCACTGTAACACAATCATTTGTACTTCAAAAAGAGAGAAACATTTCAATTAGAGCTGATTAAAACTGTCAACATGCAATATCTAAAGATGAAAACAAGGTCCTACTGTCTTCTGATACTGTTTAATCCCTTTTTCTTTTTTTCCAATGCATACCTCTGCACTGTTTCCAGGAAAAAAAAAATCTTATGCAGAGTGTAGAATTAATGGTAATATTGCTTCACTAAGAGAAAAATTTCTTTAATATTGCCTAGAGATTTTGCCTTAAATAAAGGAAACAGCTTTCCCATAAATACTGTATTTATTCTATTCTTCAATTGATATAACAGATTTAAATTGTAGGATTTAAAGGTGCTTTCATRGAGCTAGTACCCTTAACCCTCCTAAAATCAAATAATTACTCATTGAATGACTCATCCAACACCACTTTCTAAATTCAAGAGAAGGCATTCAGTCCTATTTTCTGAAAACAGCAATTACTTCATATTGGCACTAGTATGATATTATTTGTTTATACAGTCTTAAATCAAGTTTTCAGTCATCTATTCTTATTTTTGTATTTTTTCATTTTTTTTCAGTCTTCTGATTGGAGCATCAGATTTTTCCTTTTAACGCCCAGTTTCAATAGAAAAAACTGTGAAAACGATGAAAAAATAGGTTTTTTGAGCATTTCTCTCTCTCTCTCTTTTTTTTTTTTTTTTTTTTTTTTTTTTTTTTTTTTTTTTTTTTTTTTTTTTTTTTGAGATTACTTTGGGTAACTTTTAGCAAATACATCACACGAGGGGATTTTGTCACATCAGACATTGTAAAAACAGAATTGTAATGGAAAGTCCTGATAAATAATAAGCACGGCTGTGATCAAGAATGCAAAGTTGGAGTTCCATAGTCAAGTGTGTGCGCTGTGTCAGTTGATGTGCGCTGTGTCACACTGTGTGTGTTGATATGTACTTACAGTTGGTAGGAGAGAGAAACTGAGAGTCCAGCAACAAGTGGAAAGACTCTTCTCTGTAGACAACAAATGGGTCTATTAACATTGTGTAAAACTGTAATATTACAATTCTGTGACTTGCCACCTTCTCTTTAAAAACTTGATTAGTTGAAAGTATCATGGGGAGAGAAGGGGGAAAGATGAAGTAAAAAGAAAGAAAATAGAGCTTTCTAGACATTTTGTAATGGCTCATAGGTGTATCTGTTTCTGCCTGGCCTCACAGTATGGTGCTTGCTTTCTTCACAGCGCTGGCGAGCTAAATTCTTACTGCAGATGTTCTTTGAGAACATGCTCCTCCTCTGCTCACTGATGGCTAGCAAGGCCACACTGGCTTTTGGAGAGGGGAAAGGGGAAGAAATGGGGAGGCTGTGAATTTCTTCCTTGAGGAAAGGCAACTCGGTGGTATTCACTATGTTTCTCAGGAGAGATATTGAGGAGTGAGGCCAAGGTTACCTGCTAGGGASTGTATCTTGACCAAGAGCATGGCTATGGGGGAGCGGTGAAAGGAGGGGAAAGGAGAATCATTGCTTGCTGGCAGTAATGGTGAAAAACAACCTTTACTGAATTGCCCTCAAATTTCATACCATGAGGAGCTGCTTATTTTCAGTTTACTGATTTCACTGATTGGCCACAGTTTCAGCTGTGCCTGGTTGCATCTGAGCAGGCCCAGACTGGCCTGTGCCTTTGTATGCCTGTTTCAGAAAAGAAGAGATTCTTGCTTGGAAGTTCCAGTTTCAGCTCGTTCCTGCCAGTAGCTACATTTTTGGAGCTGTTTTCTTCTTTGGAGGTTAAAACTGCAAAATTCTTTGAATGAACTGGCACATGGGTATAACCAACCAAAGGGAATAACTGGGTGCTTCTGAGGAGACTGCAATTGCTGGTAGCTACTGCATCTCTCCGTGCCTTTCTACTTCTTAAAGAAAGTTAATGTAGCTACAGATGAGGAAGAGAGTGAGGGCAGGGGGAAGCATATAATACCACAAATTTTCTCCCATGAGGACTTTGCTCTGAGGATCAAATTTGTCTGAGCTCAAGACAGTGTGGATGCGCTCACACAAATGGGCTCACACAAATCCCCTATGTGTGGAGAATAAGGGACGTACTAAACTTGTTCCACTGCTCTGGTGATACTGTAAGAGTTCATCATACCTACTGGATATTCATGTTGGTGAGCTGTAGAGAATAGTTAGCTTTGGTGTTTGTGGGACTTGGTATGCATCGCGTTCCGAGGGATGTTCGTAAGACTAGTTAGTTTTTGTAGTAGCTTAGCCTTGACCAGAGTATGTTAGTGCTGAATATTATCTAAGCAGCCATAGTATAAGTTAATATATGTAAATACAGGCTAAATAGAATATAGGTATCGTTATATTCAGTTAAATCATATATCTATAAATGTAATGTTGAAAAACATCTTGTTTTGAATTGCAACATGTACTCTCCAAAAAATCTAATTAAAAAAAAACTTACCACAATTTTATCTAAAGTTGTGGAAGGGGAGCAATACAGAATTTGGATAATATGGAAAACGCACGACACACAGATTTTCTTTGGAAGGTGTTGCATATTCCTATCATTGAAACATCAAGATTATAAAATTATAAAGGCAAGATATATGAACTCTCAAGACTTTAAATCCAAGCAAGAGTTGAGGTGTTACAAATTCTGAAAGTTGTCTTGTTTTACACAGGCAGCTGCCAGTTTTGTGTTTTTTTTGTTTTTTTTTTTTTTTTGAGGTAGGGAGGAGAGAGAATTTCATTCTTTTTCCTAATTCAGTCAACCTTTTTGCCAATAAAACACCTATTTAGCTTCCAAAAACTCTGAGTATCTAAAAATGAAGGCAGGATGGTGCAATGCTTCCAATAAAGCCACTTCTATTTAACATTGATTTATARATACCAACAGAAGTAAATTTCAAACAAAACAACGATGACATTATGCTTTAGTAACAAAACAGCTTTTCCTTCTGGGATAGTAGAGTGCTGGTTGTAACTATAGTTTGTCATGATTAATGTTTTACAGGACTTTATGTGCATCTATCAGTAATATTATTTCTCTTTCTATATTCACAAATTGGTTAAAACCAATGCTACAGCACTTGAGAAAGATACATCTTAAAGACATTTAATGTCTTTAAGATCAAATATTTGGATCAATAAGATCTTAAAGACATTTAAGATCAATAAGATCTTAAAGACATCTTAAAGACACTTAATGTCTTTAAGATCAATATTTGGAGCCAGTGTTACAAAGCAGGACTAGAAAGCAAAGTCTGTGCAATGATTCTTGTTTATAATAACAAGTCTTATCAAAGAAGGATTATATAGCAGAAGGAAGACATATAGTGTGAGAGGAAAAGAAAATAATATACCTTGAGAAGACATATAATGACAACCAAAAGGAAAAGGAATTTAAACAAAGTTATTTAAATACAAATTGGTAGATWTCTTAATTTGCTTTATGTGCACAATCAAAGTTAATTTTCAGGCAGTTTCCTACAAAAATCTTTAAAAAATAAAACAGGTATTGTTTCAAGCTAATCACATGGTAAGACATTTCCGTCTTCATCTCTGATACCTTTTTATTCAGACTGCAGAGTTCTTGGGCCTTCTTGTGTTCCATTTTGTGTCCAACCTACCAGCAGAGGTGGGATGTTGAGTTTTTTCTTTCCTATAATTGCATTATGAGGACAAATGAGGGGCTAGGCACGCAGAAATCTGGAAATATGTATCTATGGAGTTTTCCTAACCATTTAAAAATATTAATGTCTCCAGACATGTTCATGCAAGATGTTCATACGACTTCTTAAACAGCAGGAGAGGAAATCAGATAAAAATGGAGAGAGCAATGAAGATGATGCTGAAATGGGAGAACTTATTTAAGCAAGTTTCTCATTACTATAATTTTCCAGAGTACGAAGTTGTGTCAACTGAAAATGGAGCAAGTGATGGTGAAAAGGAGCAGTCGATTATCACTACAAATCAGACCCATTCCACTGTGGAAAACCTAAAACCTGACACAAGGTAATTAAATACAATTTTGAAAGTTAATCCAACTGATTCAGAATTCAACTGTCTCAAACTTAAAATGGAAAGGTGCATATAAATCCAATTTGGTTTTAGTCTTGTTCTGATAGGAAAAAAAGTATGCTTTGTTTTTGCTTTTAAGCCACCATATAAGAACACACATTCCACGTCTCAGGAATCTTCAGGAAATTTCGAAGAATATATATATGATCTCATTGGATTGCAAAAGTAATATGTTTTGTCAGAAAGACTAATAGCTAACTGTAAGCAAGTGCACTGCTTTTTCTCAAAAGAATCTCTCAAAGAATTAAGCAGACGAAAAACTAGAAGGATTTTGCAGAATTTGCTATAAACCTTTATAGAATTCAACAGTCCTTATCTAGGATATATTTTTAGCCATCCTATACAAACCTTTTCTTATAGCAAGGTGGGATTAGGTGAAAGATAGATATTTTTCAAATTTGAAAATATGTTTTAAATTAAACTCCCTTCATATTAGTTCTCTGATCATTGTTCAAATATTGTTCTTGTGGGTAAGTAGAACCAACATGATTCTTAACAAACAACTTTCTCCAGCTATTTTCTTAAGACATCCTATTGGCTAAATCACCCTCCAAGGACTATTTATGTGAACAGTGTAAACCTTCCTCACTCATTAGCATGCCTAAATATCTACTCCCTAGTTGCCAGCTATGTACAGCCAGTGTTCGTAATACTTAGAATTGTACATAAATATTGTTTAAAAACAATTACACTGAGAGAGATTCTCAGAGGGAGTCATGGATATTGTGTATTTCAAATCTCTTTGATCAAAATTGTTAATATGTTAGCATAACCTCTGTTGTGTGGGTTTCAGACAATCAAGTTAAATAGAGAACTTGCATTAATTTGTTTCCAGGAAAGTTCTTATTTTTTCAGGTGGTAAGTACAGCTAATCTCATGTTTCCACGATGACAGTGTTATTGGAGATATTTTGAGTGTATTTGCTTTCTCAGAAAGATGCACTTATAAAGAAAAACATCTATCCCACCAAAGCAAGTAGTGAAGAGTGCAAACTCTAGGCTAAGTTTTTGCAGTTATTTGGTAGTTGACTCGRCAATTACCACTATTTTCTCAGTAACTGCTAAGATTGATGCTTACATTGGTATTTGAATTCTTGGTTTGACCTCTCCATAAATTGAGCTGGAAGAAAGAAATATTAATTTCATAGATTGGATCAGGATTTCTGTGTACAGTTTTCTCTGGGATTTAAGGATACACACCGGAACAGTCATAGGCTCCTTGACTATTTAGATGAATGGTCATTCATATACTAGAAATGCAAGTTAGGCCACTGCCAGATATTTGGCCTTTTTGTTGCATTATGGAAAGGATGTATTGGTCCYGTATACAGGACCTTCAGTCCTGTCTTGAAAGAGATGGCAAATTAAAAATGTCAGTGAAATACAATTGATGGTGTACATCTTGAGGAGTTAACCCAAGTAAGTATTATCACTGTATTAAATGGGGGAAAAAAAAAAAGAATCTCAGAAGCTCATCAAAAATATTTCTTTCATTTCCATGGTAAGCTGCAGAAAAGGGAAGAATTCATTTGTCCTGAATTTCARTATTTTTTATTGCTTGCGTCAGAATGTTGTTTAATGTTTTGGTTTTGCTTTTTTTTCCTGTAAGACCATCCTTACTGGATTTTTCCATTTCAGTTAAACTGCCATTTTTAATAATAATTTTTTAATATATTTTTGTAATTTTATTATGATTATTATTGAATTGGAAACATAAAACTCCACATTGAGCCTAGCTGAGTTTATGTCAGCTCCTGGTGGGAAGGATGAGGAAGTATTGCAGAAAGTGGTGGGATAGGGGAGTGGAAAAGAAAGACTCATTAGATTTGTGATACCCAAAAATAACTTTTCAGGGAAATCCAGAATTCAAATGATGGATCTGTATTGTTACCTACTGAATAAAGAGTAAGTCTGTTATTTTCTAAAGGCCTGTGGCTTGTAACAAGGTCAACTGCAGCTGTATTTTTCTGCTTTGTTAAGAGATAGGGAGTGTTAGCAATAGAACTTGAGACAAAGCATCGCTCACCTCACCCTCATCAGTTGAGGAGATTTAGACAGCAAAATATCATTTGAAGAGCAAAAGTAGATGCTGCTAAACTTGTAAGGTCATTCTTTTTGTGCTTTTTTTTTTTTTAAGTTCTGCTCTGAAATAAATTAGTTGCACTTCTACAAGTACTGTATTTTATTAATGAGACTTGTTACACACTAAAGTTGGTCATATCACATGTGGTGACAAAAATGAGATAAATTGTTTACGTGTAGAAAAGACATAGAAGCAAGATGCTGGATGATGAGTTTCAGATGACATGAATGAAAGACATTTTTACACTCCAGTAGGGTAAAGGCAAGCAGATCCATTGGAAAGCATGTAAGGCAGGATGTAACTATGCAGAAGCAGTAAAATACTTTGTAACAGCAATTTGGAATGATTCTACTCATCCTATGAGAGAATTTAGGGTTTCAGTAGACAAGAACAGATCAAGACTGGAGAAAAGCTATCTTCTGGAGCGTGAACTGTGCTACAACAAATTAGATTTGAGATCAGAGCTGCCTCTAACAGAGGCTGATTTAAGATATAACTCTTGAAAGGATAACTTTTTCCCTGATGGATGATGTTTTTAACAACCCTCCCTTTGCCCCAAAGGAAAGACAAAGTCTTGTTGGATTCATGAGACCATCAGCTCCAAACTGAAAACATCTGATGAATGCAATTTACAGCTATGCATGTTCCTTTTGATTGCACAGGATATAAAGGATGGGGAGTCCTTCTCAGAGTGGCTGCATTTGATTAAACTTCCATTCCTAAATGTGGATTTCTTCATTTCTGGGACCTCTTGGGAGCTTTGGCAGAAGCACAAGAAATTGTTACTGTTTGAATCCATGCTTATTGAAGCACTAAATTCAAGGAAAAGAAGTGAAGACAGTTGGCATCACACAGTGGCAGTGTAGTGATGGATGGCATACATCAATAGTAAAGTTCTCCCCTCTATCAAGAGGTGATTGCTTACCAGAATTAAAAATAGATCTAGGGACACAGCTGACTGAAAGTAAGAGGAAAAGAGACAATGAAATGCAGCTTAGTGAATTTATTAAGAGTCTCTGAAATGTCTGCAAATTCATGAAGTGATACATTAAATTTGAGAAGCAGTTTCCATAACTGGCCTGAAAGTAAAGGGCTGTAGAGGAGGTGCAGCTGGAAAAGAAACTTGGAAGAGAAAAAGAAATCCATCTTAAACGGGACCAACATTTACAGAAGTATCAGCAAGTATATGGAAAGAGAGAGGTTCAGCAGCAGTGAACTAGTGGGTGAAGAACCTTCTTGGCCCTAAAACACTTCAGGGAAGCTGAGGAGCTGAATTTGAGATTCTAGATTTTTCCAGATTTTACTGAAGTTATCAGTGATCCTATGAAAATCCCATGTGCTGCTGTGAAGTTTCGGGGATTCTAGAGCTGAAGATAGTTCATGACACATATAAAATGGGCTGATCTAAACAAAGATTTCCAAAAATAAATAAAAATTATTATGGATATGGTATTTTAGTCTGCATGGGTAACTTTAGAGCAGAAGAATCCTACAGCAGCAAGACAGTTCAAGACAGGCAGCCTTCTCTGGATATATAGTCATAGGGAAGACTACATGGCAAAAATAATCTCCAGTCCTGTTGTCCAAGGTCTTTTTGTCCTGATGAGGTAAATCCAGGGGATTATTTTGATGTCTCATCAGCAGCTGGAGAGTTACTTCCCCAAATGYTACAGGGATGAAACAAGACAGACAACCCTTCAGTGGGGAAGGGGCAGAAGAAGCAGAAGGGAAAAGAGGAGTGCATCATAGCCAGCCAGGTCATGCAGTTTGTTTGTGTTTGGGTGGGATTTTTTTGGTTTGCTTTTTTGGTTTGCTTGTTTGGTTGGTTTAATTTCTTCAAAATAGATCATATTGTTACATCCCTGAAAAGCATAGTACTCACCAGTGTAACTTCAGTGGCCCTTTCTGTGGGACCAGGTAGTCTTTTCCACTGGACTCAGTGATACCTAATGGTCCTTCCCATTGGACCCAATCCTTTCCATCGGGCTTTAGTAATACCTAGAGGTCCTTTCCATCAGACCTTGTCCTTTCCATCAGACTTTCACACTACCTAGGGGTCCTTTCCATTGGACTTTCACACTACCTAGGAGTCCGTGCCATCGGATCTCATCCTTTCCATTGGATTTTAGTGCTACCAAGATGTCCTTTCCGTTGGACTTTCGCACTACCTAGGGGTCCATGCCATTGGCACTACCTAGAGATCCTTTCCATCAGACCTAGTCCTTTCCATTGGACTTTAGTGCTACCTATGGGCCCTTACCATCAGACCTAATCCTTCCCATTGGATTTTAGTGCTACCTAGGGGTCCTTTCCATCAGACCTAGTCCTTTCCATCAGATTGCTTGAAAAAACCCACCCCCCAGTCTTGCCTGCAGATCTCCCTTGATCCCCTGCTCGTCTGCAGTCTTGGGAACTCAATCAGTCATCTGGTGTTGGCTGTGGCCAAAGGGGATCGATCACTGAAAGTTTCAGTGAGGGGCGATGTCGATTCCAGTTGCCATCTGCTGTTCCCGGAAGGTGGAAGGCTCCGGGACGAGCCCCCATTTGTATAGAAACTCTCACTGTCAAGAACCGAATGTCTGCAGAGGAGACAGAGGAGTCCTAAAACTTTATTCGAATAAAGGCAGAGTCCAGCAGGGCATATGCCCGTGGGGTCTCTCCAAACATAGGAGGGTGCGGACTCCTTTCATCCTAATGTCCCGACCAAAGTATGCCCTTTTCTTTTTCCCATTGGCTAAGGTACTCAGAAGTTACAGACTTCCTGGCCCACCTAATGTATGCTGCTCCTTGATATGTTCCCCATCCCTGGTCATACTTTGCATGTCTAATTAAAGTGACTTTATGCCTCCCCTGGGTATGAAAGTTRATATGCATTAGCTCATTACACTTRCGCCTACTCTTCTAGGGTTCATTCTGTGGTCATTTGTTGATAAGGATCTCTCACCCCCCCTCCTGTTTTCCCAAAGTTCAACTGCACCCAATCACATACCTATAACAGGACCTCCCTGCCTGCACTCCATAGTGCTGTTCACCAAAGAATGTGGAGATTTCACACGTTTGTTTTGCTCATGCTGAACAGCTTAATGCACTTTTAAGTTGGCCCTGCCATGAGAAGAGGCCTGAAGCAGGTAACTTCCAAAGGTTCCTTCCAACCAAAATTGCTGTATAATTTTATCTTTTGGATAGTTTCTTGTCTTAAAAACCTCAACATGGCCCTTTTGCTCATATGCAGGCTGAGCATGTGCATTTTGTACATATTTTGTACGTTAATGCAAATAACAAAGAAAAATGAGAGGAGTGATGTAGTATGAACTAAACTGTCAGATAAATTGTTTATCCCTACATAGAAATTCTACAATTTTTCTGCTGAAAACAACTCTTAGACTTTTCTCAGAAGCACATCATTCATTCCACTTGGAAATTCATCATAGCCAAACTGCAGGAATGATTGTTTTGATCAAAGCAATTACAATCCAGCTTCCAGACAGTCATCTGAGCAGTGCAACCTGTAACATTCCATTTTACTTGTCACACAGTTCCTTGGTTTTGGAGGTTTCTTTCCAAAGGTGCCTCTCGCAGGTTCATTTGAACACYCAGGACTCCATTCTTTGGGATCGTCTCTATTTTTATTTTACACTGAAAACTACACTTAAACAAGAAAATGTTTCAGTAATTTTTAGTATTCTTTTTATTATTATTAGTTGTGGGGTTTTCAGGCCCCTTAAAACAGAAAAAGAAAAAAGAAAGAGAGAAAGAAAGAGACTTCCAATCATCTGATACAATATCATTTTGAATTCTTGGAATATTTCTGCTTACTCATCTGCAAAAAAAGGTAGTTCTTATTTCTGTATCCCTGTAGGTGTACATTTCCTCTCATTCTGGTGGTTTGTTTAAGGGCAGTTAAGTTTAGCRAGCATATCACTTGTGGCCAGGAAACTTTGCAACACTAATTTCTATACAAGTCTTCAAAAAAGAGTCTAAACACAGTACTTATGCATGTTTGTGTTGGCTGCAATTGGAAGGTAATAAAGGAAAATRTTAAGAATGCAGTTCTGCTATATTAGTCATAGATGTGCCAAACAGCTTTGGGGCAATTGAGGTAGCCCWTAAAATAGGGGTTGTGTTCCACCAGCCTGCTGGTAAAGATCTTTGGTTAAAAAATAATATTGATAGTAAACAAAAAGCCTGTGCTTGCAAAACTTCCTTTTAGGTTCTGGTGCTTTATCTGGTTAAGTAGTTTGGTAATTTCAGTTACCCTTTTCTCCTTTCTGWGTGCACAAAACAGTGGTCTCTTTTGGATTAGATTGTGTCCCATGGCAAAGTAATTTCCAGCGATGCTTTCTCTGGAGGTATATAACTAACAGAAAATGTGAAGGTGAAATGTGCAGGATATATGCATTTACCAAACTGTTTTTATAATGTGTGATAGATGGTTACCTTCAGATGGCTTTTTTTCATGTGCCTTGTGAAAGTTAGGAAATAAAAACGGAATATTGCTCTAATTCTACTCAAAGGCACCATAGCAAGTAAGTCTTCGTACCTTTAGTGTATGGTTATGTTAGAAGCTTTTGGTAGAGGTGTAGATTTAAATTCATAATTATCTACTTATGCTATTATTAACATTATCTACTATTGTCTGATTAGTATTGTCTAGTATTGTATTTAGCACCGAAAACGTGCTATCCACACACAAGAAAAAGTTTGTTGCAGAGCTTGGTTTCTGTTAACAGCAAGGGTCAAGAAGTGMAAACTGCAGTGAAAGTAGCAGTGCTATTATGATAGGAAGGAAAGGATTGCAGAAAAATATCCTGCTTTTTTGTGCATTCTTCATTACAAAATATGTGCTATACTGCTGCTAATGTATGGGTAAGCAGTTCCTATTTACTTTGGCCCTTCTTTGAACTTGACTAAGAGAAAAGCTTTCCAGACAAGCTCATCATTATCTTTTGAGCAAAATGTTCCCTTCTGTTAATTCGAGTTTTCTTCACTAGTTGGGGTCACCTMCTATTCAAGCACACTCTGTGCAACAAAACTCAATAGACACGGGCCGGCCCAATGCAGGGAGCAACTCCCTCAGCAACTAATCTGAAATTGCAGTACTGCACTAAGCTGTCCCAGTCCATATGATGAAAATCTCTCTCTGCCTCTTTTCTTTCTCAATTCTTACATTTTCTCCTTTTGCATGATTTGAAAAAAATGAAGGCACAGCAGTGTCTGCCAAAGCTCCATGTGGAATACTGTTTTTCTGTGGTGGAAAAATCCGTCCTGCACAGTAATTACTGTGAGGCAAGTCCATTTAATCTGCTCAAGGACTTTTAGTGTCTTATACTGTTGACTTTTAGTGTCTTATACTTTTGAAGAGGATTTAGGAGGCCTGATCTCTCCCAAGTTTTGGGAATGACTTTCCTAGGTTGGAGGTGTGAGAGATGTTAGCTTGCTGCATATATTGAGTTCCTGGCATCTTAGGGGCATGTATATAAAGATGGAATATAGACTGGCRTTTCATATGGACAGTTGCTTGTGAATATCACGTCTGGCTAAGAGGCAGACGTGGGATAATCATTATATAACTTTCCTAGTTCCCTTTAGTAACTTTGTCCTATATGACTTCCAAGCAGTTTTTTCCCTCCCTTGTGGCTTATGTTGAAGAGGGTAAGATTGCAGCAATTTTATTTTTGTTTTTCAGATTCTTCGCCTGACATATCACAAGGGAGGCTTTATATCATTTTCTATGAAGAAAGCCACAGCATGTCTTTAGTATTCAGTTAGATCTATAATCTCTTTCATGCCATAAGATGGGTCTAATTTTTCCTTTCTCTCCCAACTTTCAGTCGATTAATTACTTTCCTTTTGCCCCAAAAGTTACTCCTGCTTGTTCTTGTGCTGTTGTAGCCACTGCTGTTGTTTCTGATTCGACTCTGGCAGAGGAAAAGAGCCCATTGTGTTTGGTAAATGTGAAAAAAACAACCACAAGACAAATAACCTATTACTTCATTTATTTAATGGCCCCTGCAATAATGTGAATGGCTCAAAACTTCCAAAAGACTTTTTAAAGACCAAAACAAACCAGTGTTTCACTTAGAAATATCCATGATTTATCCAAAATGTATCTGTTCAGAACACCAATGTATTGAAATAACAAGTATTTCCCACAATTTTTAGGGTTTCCTTTTCTTGTTTAAGGCACTTGCTTATTTAAGGAATTTTGAAGTTAAAAATTGTCTTATGAATGTTCTGGATGGTACTGTGCGATGAGGGCTCCACTGAGGCTGTTCAAGTTTTGCAGGCACCAAGAAACAATGAGCAGCAGTCCAAAGTTTGAATTAAATTTTTTTGTCTCCTGTAGGAACTTGCAAGAGAAGTTCACAAATTTCTGAGTATGCAGAGGGTGCTTTCCAAGAATGCAAAGAGTGAAATGTTTTTGTTTCAGAAAATTGCTGTTTGGGAAGAGCTATGGTACACTCATGATCAACTGAGTTATCACTAATAAGTGACCCTTCAGGAGTCAACAGCTGGATGTTTAACTACCCATTTCTGGGAATTTCARTTAATTCCGCATAGTGTCTAGGTTCGGTCTTATTTTCTAGACCTATGGTCCTTTGACTCACTCCAGATCTCTCTAGTGGATGAAGCAGCTCCCTATACTGAGAGATATGAACATGCCAGAGCATGCGAAAAACCATCATCATTTTTTATGCCTTATGGCTGTCCTGCAAATGACAAATTATTGCTTACATCTCATGGGGAGGGTATGGAGAGGATGCTACTGGCAGGGAGTTGGGTGTTTGTGTTCCTGTGAATGAAAAAATTGCAAGTAAACAGCACTATGTTCAACTCAGTCTCTCCTGCTTCTGCTTCTGACTTGAAGTTCACCAGCACTGAAATTGTGTAAGAGAGAAGACAGACTTAAACTAATGGTGCATTAAAATAMACATTAATAGCGTGTGTGCAAAGATTCATCAAAATAAATGAGAAATTATGTGTTTAGAGAGGCATTATACACTCAGGAAAAAGAATTATCTCCATTTTTTCAGAGTAATGATCAAGGCCTTTAGGCTCTTTCATAAGAGGCCAGGAGCACCAGAGGATGTGCTGACAGTTGCTTGCTCCAGACCATATAAGAATACTTAGTTTGCAAAATTTTCATTTCCTGTTTTTGTTCTGCAGTTATGAGTTCCACGTGAAACCTAGAAATCCTCTTGGAGAAGGCCCGAGCAGCAACGTTGTGGCGTTCAATACTGAATCAGGTAAGGATGTCCAATGGTTTGTCCATCATTTAGAAATCATTGGGGATGTGCTCAGCCACTAAGGAATTAACATTTAGTACCTTCAAATTAAACAGACAATGTAGTCCGATGGATGGGATCCTAAAACTGGATTCAGGTAATTTGTCTGTGCCACTGTTAAAACCCCCTCAATTTCTAATGGAGGTTTTATCACACAAGATAGGGAGTAACATTTCTAGGTTTACACATCACTTTGTGCAGGTTTGTGCAGTAAGAAGTTTTGTTCACATATTTTTGCTGACTCACATCAGCTGTAAACTGCACTTTTGTTACAGTCATTATCAGTTGTATCTGATTTTGTGCACTACTACTAATCCGTTTGTCTGGGGCATATGAAAGCAGTCACATACTTGGGCTCTCTTCACTGAGCATCCTCTGGTTTGTTTTTTACTATCTCCAGCTTGGCTTTTTACTATTGAGCCAGTTATGGCAATGCCTGGGAGGTGAGTCTGAGATCAGGGCCCTTTTCCATGAGGATATAACCTGGCCAGRCTGCAGGAGAAAATAAAAAGATGGAACACAGAAAGATCAATGTGTGGCCTTCACTCTGAAGAAACTAACTTTACGCTGAAAATGGCATAAATAGCTGAAGGCTGAGACATTTAAGATTAGTATTCCTGGTATTTCTGGGTCTGTGAAGTCACCTGCCTGGAAAAGCTCTAAGGAACAAACAGTTCTTCTTGGGGCTGACATGTTTATACGCACTGCCCACCTCTTCAAAAAGATTACTGTGCAACAAATATGTTGTTCAACTAAAACTAATGAGTCCGAAATAGCAGTTTAGAAATGTTGGAGTCCCGAGATGCCCCTTTTCATCACGTTGACTCTCTTGTGAAACTGTTAGGGAGCAATAAACAAGGCTGGCTTGGTCACATGTTGATTCCCAAGTTGTACCTGACTCAGAGGTGAGGATCAGAGAGTGCCTTTGCTCCCCCTGTTCCAGTGCCTAGGGAGGAGGATGGTAGTTGTTGGCTCTGTACAAGCAGGATATATATTTTTTTTTGAGTAGATCTGGTTATTGCTCAATAGCACCTTAAAGAACACAATATGGATTTAGCCTCTTAAAAGGGACATTCTCAGGCTGCAYTTCGAGCCAGGTGTCATCATAGCCCTTACAAAGTGCTCAGTCACGGATGAATCAGAGCTTTGGCTCTGCAGAGAATTAGCCAGGGAGGAGTTCAGACTATGCCTGGCATTTCTGAAAACCATGAATACGCTCTTTGTAACTTAGATTGTTAAACCTGAAAAATATATTTACGCCAAATGCAATTTTCATGCTTACTCTGTCTCCTATTTTGTTTGGACAAATTAAGCAGCTGGTTTTGTTTTTCCTTTAATCGCACACATCCATTTGTCTTTGGGGGGCTTTCATAGCAAAGTTTTGTGCTGCAAGAATTACAGAAGAGTCCATTTTATTATTTAAGTTTTGAAACCGAAATACAAAAAAAGAAAGCTGTAGAACTGTTATTTTACTGGCAGGTTTTATACTCTTGATGTTACTGGTGGTATTGTTTCAGAAGTAAAATTTTTAAAAGCCCAATGATGCAGTAGTTTCACATAATGGCACAGAAAATGTATTTCTTTAGTACAAAAAAAAAAAAAGAGTAGTGAATTTTATGTCCAATTTTTTTTTAATGTCAACAACAGAAAAACATACTAGGAAAAGCACTGTAATGCTTTTCCACAGAAATATCAGGAAAGTTTAATTTGCATTCTCTGATTGAATGTTTGTTTTCTTTCCGCAGCGGACCCAAGAGTGAGCGAGCCCATTTCAAGTAAGCTTTTTGTACCAACTGTTCTGATTTGGAGTTTTTTAGGAAGTGAGATAGCATAAATTTTGGAGGGATGTTGCTGTACCGTGCCAGTTAAATGAGCTATGGGACAGAGCAGCGTTCACTCATGATTTCACTCCTTCCATCTATATCATAAGGAATTCTTGCCAGGCTAAATGTTTACCTGAGCATGACACAGTCAACGTGAGGTGGTGCTCAAGTGGCTTCAAACCAAGGTACACAGATGAGGACAACCCTTGTGGTGTCTCAGCCTGGTCATTAAATGAAAAGAAAGCATCATAAAATGAATGAGCTGCTTTGCACCTTTGCAAATGAGTTAACAGGGCACATTTCAGAGGCAGCTATTTATCTGCCAGGGTGCTTTCCAAAAATTGTCTGCTTCTGAAGGCTTGATCCAGCTCTGCTTTAGGCCACTTCTTAAGATTCTTAATGTCTTTGGTGGGAATATACCCCAAGGCATATTATCTGCACCATCAGGGTTTTAATTCTGTTTATTTTAGTATATTTGTCATACATCACTCCATATTGGCATATGGAGTCCTTATGACTCTCTCCCTCTCCTGCAGTGGGAAAGGATGCCATCTGGACTGAAATCCCATTCAATTCTGACACCTATTCAGAATGCAAAGGGAAGCAATACGTAAAGAGGACTTGGTATAAGAAGTTTGTAGGTGTGCAGCTGTGTAATTCATTGAGATATAAGATCTACCTCAGCGACTCCCTCACAGGTAAGTGGCATTCAAGTTGTCCAAGTTGTACACCCCTCAAGATATGGGTCCAGAACTCACAGGTTTAACAAGATTGGCTCTGTTGAAACGTGATCAGGGATGTATAATCTATTCCATAGAAAGATTAACCTGCCTGTGCTTAGTAATCTGAATGTCGTTGATACCAGATTTTCCAAGATTCATGAGTTACTTCTCCACAGTCATCATCTGTTTTACAGCACCTATAAGTAACCAGGGGATCATACAGAATGCTCACAAAGACCAGATCTCTGCCAGGGAATAGTTTATATTGTGAAGGTGCCAATCTTGAATTCAGAAAGTGGTCTGGGATAGTTACTAATCCAGGACTAGGGCCTAATTTTAGCCCACGATTAGAGCTCGCTCATTCCCACCCCATTCGCTACACTTCTGCTTAATTCATTATTGTGGAGCTTACTTTAATATAGAGCAAATAATATATAGCCTCTCCTCTAAGGAGCAGGTTTTACCCACCCATAGAGCTTGGGCCCTCCCGGGAGCAGGGCTCAGCAGTCTCCGTGTGTGGGAGAAAGCACTTTTTGGAAAGCAGGAAGAGCGGAGCGCGGCAGGCAGCCCGTGCCAATGTAATCAGGAGCGGCCTGGCCTTGCCCCGACCAGCGCTCCCCTGTGAGCAGGCAACGAGGGAAGCCCTGGCGTTAACAGCGAGCGCAGTCCCGCCTCGTCAACAGCATCCTGGCGGATGGGTGAATAGGAGAGGCCGTTCTGAACAGAGGTATCATTCATTCACCCCGTGCCGGGCTGCCCCACGGCGATCAAGTGACAAGAACTGGCAACGAGGTAGAGCGTATCACCAAACCAGTAGAGGAAATAGCTGTGCTAATCTAGCAGGACTAGACTTCAGCCCTAAATCAAGCGTATTAACACCACACTGAAAGCTACTTTGGTCTCAGAGTGAGAGTTTCACATATCAGCAGCCCATTTTCCTATTTTTATTAGATTGTTTTTGTTCTTGCTGGAAGACTGGAGATTTAACTTGGCTGAGGAAAGATGATGGTAGCCACATTGCATTCCCTTCACTTGCTGAGCCTGCTTCTTGCACTCGAACTCCTCTGCAGGCCACTTGCCACAATATTWGAAGGATATTAGATGTTTATGTAAATGTAAACCCTTCGATGTTTTTCACCACTCTTTGCTAAGTGAGGCTGACATGACACGGGCTTCTCCAGTAGAGCGCGGAGGTTTCCAGCTGAGGCCACCTCTTGTTCTGATGTCTCATCGCACTGCAGAGGCCAGTGGAAGTAGCAGTCTGTTTTTTCAGGACATATTTACACTGCTGTTTTTGCAGAACTCATAGTGTGCAAAACTGCRTCCCATTTGCTTAAGAACATCCATAATGAATGTTGTTGAATGTTCCCTCATTGCAAAAATGAAGTATTACATTTATGCTAGAATTACTACTGACAGAAGGAAAAGGTGTATCTAGTCATTTGTTACCTAAAATGTTTTTCAAGTATGTTCCTTATTATGGAGGTAATTGAACAGTAGGAATTTAGTAGATATTCCCTGAGGACACTTCTAATCTATGTGTAGCAAGTGCTTGAGTTAGGCATATTTYACATCATGGTCCAGAAGAGTGCATGGATATCTGAAAGTTCCTGTTCTTCTTAGTCGTATAAATCGACCTCCAGCAGGTCGAGAGAGGTGATCGTCCCCGTCTACACAGCCCTGGGGAGGCCACATCTGGAGACTGTGTCCAGTTCTGGGCTCCCCAGTACAAGAGGGATGTGGAGCTGCTGGAGAGAGTCCAGCGCAGGGCTACSAGGATGATCAGGGGCCTGGAACATCTGCCCTATGAGCAAAGGCTGAGGGAGCTGGGTCTGTTCAGCCTGGAGAAGAGGAGGCTGRGGGGGGACCTGATCAGTGTCTATAAATATCTCGAGGGAGGCAGTGAGGAGGAGGGGCCGGCCTCTTTTCAGTGGTGGCCAGTGATAGGACTAGAGGAAACGGCCACAAGCTGAGGCACCAAAAGTTCCACAGGAACTTAAGGAAACAGTTCTTGACAGTGAGGGTGCCAGAGCCCTGGCACAGGCTGCCCAGAGAGGTTGTGGAGTCTCCTTCTTTGGAGATCTTYAAAACCCGCTTGGAYGCAGCCCTGTGCCACGTGCTCTAGGTGACCCTGYGTGAGCAGGGGGGTTGGACTCAATGACCTCTGAGGTCCCTTCCAACCTTGGGCATTCTATGATTCTATGAAATGCCTTTTCTATTCTGTCTCTAGTGAAGAAAACCTGATAGACATTCCACATGCCAGTACTGTTCTATAAACCAGCATCTCCTGCTGACCTCATTTAACAGTCCTCAAGAGCTCCAGATCAGGCCACCAAAAGAAAGTATTTATTGCGGGGAGGAAAAAAATTATATGTGACCTTCAACAGCCATGAAAAAAAAAAAAGGGGGGGGGGGGGAAAGGCATGCAGTTTTGGGCAGCTTGAATGTGCTTAATTTCAGACCAAAAATTTACCAAGAGAAAYTCCTCCTGATCAGTTCTTCTTGGAAAAAATACATCTACAGCCAAAACAACACAGTAATAAATAATTTTCTGAAGCATGTGCATGCAATTCTGCTCTGAGACCATCAGCTAGCAGTGAGAAATTTTGGCAAAGTAGACAGCAGATCAGAAAAATGTAGGAAAAAGAAGAATTTTTGGTGRGCTGGTACATTATCAGTAGAACTTCAGAGAGCAGCACTCAAAGCCACCTCATTGTCTCTCAGATGGCCAGACTGGCATAGATTCACAGCTACCAGAGCCCCAAAATCCAACTGGATTTTCTGCTTTGTTAACACCTAAGGACCCAAGACTGAGCCTAAAAGTTATCACCATTTCTTTCAACTTCACATCTAGAAGCAGGAAAAGGTCTGCGAGGCTGACTTTGTTTTGCAAAGGTTTTTTGTGTCTCATTCTAGAGAGGGATTTACCTCTAAATCTCTGGTTAGATTGTCTGCAAATAACCAGAAGCTGAACAGATCAAGACCAAGTGCTGCAAAGGGTGTTCAGAAAAAGCAGCAGGCTTATCAGAAAATGTCTCCTGCCAAGTAAAAATAGACTGAGTGCTTTCCTCCATCTTCTCAACTGAATTATACTAAGGTCTTGTGAACAAATCAATAAAAATCTGTYGAAATTGTCTCACTAAAAGCTGTTATTAACTGGGTAAGGACAGTCTGCAGTGTCAGCACTTGCTGCGTGTGGCACTGGAGATCCTTCCTTCCTGCAAGGACCCTTCCTGCAGTCAAGTGTCCTGTTAGCAATCCTGTAARTAAACATGGACACAGTGGGGCTGGAGCACAGACCTTATGAGGAGTAGCTGAGGGAGCTGGGATGGTTTAGTCTGGAGAACAGGAGGCTCGGGGGAGACCTTAGCACGCTATGTAACTACCTAAAAGGAGGTTGCAGGGAGGTGAGCGTCAGTCTCCAGAATAACTGCTGATGGAACAAGAGGRGATCACAAAAATGGCTTCAAGTTGACTCAGGAGAGGTTCAGGTTGGACATCAGGAATAATTTCTACTGGAAAGAGTGACGAAGCCTTGGAACAGGCTGCCCAGGGAAGTGGTGGAATCATCGTCCCTGTGTTCAAGAAACGTGTAGAGGAGGCACTTAGGGACATGGTTTAGCAGGCATAGTGGGGATGAGTTTATGGTGGGACTTAATGATCTTGAAGGTCTTTTCAAACCATAAGAATTCTATGATTCTATTCCATATTAATCTCTGGACAGGCAGCTACTCCACCTTGGGGGGGTGTTTATTAGCTAAAGGATATCACTTGCCCATGTTGTGAAAAGATGGTGCTGCACAAAGCAGGCCATACTATGAGCTGCTATATAAACCCAACTTCAAAGCYACTCAGGACTTCCTGACACGGGGTCAGACATGGGGAACAAAGGCATTTCAGTAAAATCAATAGCAAATCTTACTCCTTTCTGTTACAATCAGAATGAGGTTCTAGTCAGAACAGGATTTCACTTAATGTTTGAAATATGAGAGAAAAAAAAAAAAAAAAAGACTAAGACATTACATTTTGGCTAGCAGAAGATACCAGCAGTTGCCCACCTCTGTGAGCACTGTGCTTGGGCTATGTCCATATTGCTYGAATCACAGCTATGGATCTGAAATGAAAGGGATCTTAGTTTCACATGGAACTTCAGCTTTGCCGTTTCTTTGCTTTCAGGAAAATTTTATAATATTGGAGACCAGAGGGGCCACGGAGAAGATCACTGTCAATTTGTAGACTCTTTCTTGGATGGAAGGACAGGGCAGCAAGACGATCTACCAGCCAAAGATGGTAACTCTTGTCTCTGTGGTGGACCACGCGATTGCTTTGCTTGCCTAGTTAGTTTCCGGCRGATGAATTCAGGGTGCTTTGCCAGGCCCAGCAATGAATATTGAGCTTCCAGGCAGAGCCAAGAGGGTTTTGAAGATGAGCGAGAGCACGTGAAGAGGAAGTTATGATTCAAGTTCAGTTAGGTAGTAACCACCCTTTCTCTTTTGTAAAACAGAAGAAATGTGTGGTGGAAGTTTGTGTGAAAACAGTATAGGTAAGATATTAAAGAGCCTAAATCTTTTACCAGTTTTTCAGAATGCAAAGTAAGAAGTAAGTTAATGCACTGCCCAGTGGTCACGATGCGATTTTTTTTTTTTTTTTCCCCAAGAGGGCTTTGCTTTCCCTTTGCCAGTTAGTGCTGCCATTTGTAAAGGTGCCTTGTTTGTAGAGGGGACTGTCCAAATCCAGTGTGGCATGGCCACAGCAGCAGACAGCTAAAAAAGTTTTTAGCTTAAAAAAAAAAAAAAAAANAAAAAAAAAAAAAAAAAAAAAAAAAGTTTATCCTGTAAGCTTATAAAGGTTGCAAAACAAATTTGGTTTTGCCAAATGGGTTTAACTGACTATTCATGAACAACTGTAATCAAATATAATATATTTGTAATACATTTGTAATACATTTGAACAAATGTAATACATTTAAAAGAAAAAATGTATTTCTAGTAAATGGCCTGAACAGGGAAAAGAAGGGACYCAGTGTTCATTGCTATTTTAGTTCCTCTCTAGCTGCAGCAAGTGACYGAGGTGTGTTCAGATGAGGATAACCGATGCATGTGCCCCATCTGAAATGCACCAGTATCAGGTTGGACACCTGCTCTCTTCAAACGTTTGAAGTGGCAGCACTGTCCTGTAGAACGACAGGTCCTTACCTCTAAACAGGAGCTAAGATCTTTAATGTGAGGATGGGCGGATTGTGTGGCCTACCCCCACAAGTTTTGTTTGAAGGTTACTGCGCTCATATTATTTACTCCTGATTGCATTGGAATGGAGGCTACCAGTGATGGTTTCCACCTAGTGTGCAGAAAAGGACCCAGGTAGGCCACCCTACCCCACACCTCTGTCCTTCTCTGGGTCGTATTGATCCCAAGTACTTCTCCTTGTTCATGTTAGGATTTGGTGGATAAATTCGAGTTGCTTCATGGTGMTGATCATAGCATATTGCTAGCTTAACAGGGCTGCAAACTCATTTAYGGCAGATGACTCAGTGCCTAGTTCAGCCTTGAAGTGAACTGCACACAAGGCACAGCAGTGGAAGGAAGCTCCTGTCTTYGGCGTTCCTGCAAGCAAAACTCTCTTCTTCTCTGTTCTAGGCTTCTTCAGGGCAGTTCGCCAAGAACCYGTCAAATTCGGAAAAATAGGCGGCGAGACTCACATTAACTACGTTCGCTGGTACGAGTGCGGCACATCAATACCTGGCAAATGGTAGAGCTGCCGTGAACGCAGCAGAGAGAGACATCCCTYTCTACCCCCCTGCTTCCGACTGCCCAAAGCGAGCGCAAAGGTGAAGATGGTGTTTACGGTATGCCTGTCATTTAAAGAATTTTGCTAACCTGTAACGGTTTATACAAATCTAATGACAATACTGCGTTAATTGTGTAATAGCATAGGCTGCTTGCTGTAGTTATCCAGTTCTACAAATTTGTTTTTTAGGTTAAAACAAACAGGTTAAGGAYATGATGTAGGATAACATATAGGGAAGCTGGCTCCCTAGCTTGAGGTATGGTTTATATGGTATTTTAAAAGATACAGTGTGTATATTATTTATCACAGTGTTGTAATAATTGTTTAAGGCACAATTATGGCAAAGTTGGTCATGGAATGCAATGTGTGTTAGTTTTAAATAYTTACTGTTTTCTGTTACAATGTAAAGCGCTGTAAGCTAGCTGCCCCTAGTCATAAATTATAGAAGCCCCTTAATCATTTAATATCCTGCAACCAGTAACATGAAGAGCTTTCTCCCCAAGAGAAATTGCTACAATAGCTGCAAGAGCTATTGTACAAGCACCTTTAAACAATCAAGTTATTGCATTTGTGTTTGTTTTTACTCTGGCAGAACAGCATGAGCAGCCTATTGCTAAGAAGCTAGAAACATTTTGCGTGCTCCGCTTGGCAGGGCTTTGGTTGGTTTGTCTGTTTTTCTGCAATTAAAGCAGGAACGTATATATGTGTACTTGGAAAAAATGCAACCGGCCTCCTCCACTGCCATGGCTTTTCATTAAATGGTACTGTTTTGAGAGGCTTAGCCTTAAAACTTTAAATGGCAAATGTATGTGTATATATAGAGAGCAAGCATGGAAAGCTCTACAAAATGTAGAAGAAAGAAGCCCCTGTACTTAAAACTAAGCTAATAATAACAGCACAACTTGTTTTCATGAAACAAAAAAAATGTACCAAATGTGGTTGGTGGTTTGGGGAGCAAAGGAAAAAGAACAGTGTCAAATGAATGTTTGAAAATGCTTTTAATTTTGATTAAAAATCTCTACCAAAGCTACTTGTTGTATTGCTTGAACATTTATGAACTAAATAAAGAGATGTAGGGTTTTTTTTTTAAAAAAAAAAAAAAGGTGTTATTCATTACACTATTAATGTATTAAAAACTATGGACAGGAACACTAAGATATATATATAGTAGAAATAATCATTTAGAGAAAATGCCTTTAAAGTACATTGCAGGTACACTGTACTACTATTAATAAAATATTTTTTAATCAACTAAATGTTTTTCTTAGTGTTGTACATCAAAGCAAAACAAAACAAACAGTTGCTGTGGTAGCTGCTGTTCCAGGAAGCAGTTTCTTTTGGAAGGGGCAGGTGATGAACACCTGATGTATAAGGTCAGACAAGCTCCTGAACAGCACTAAGGACACGTCACTCCTTATTAGCTGTATCTGCATCTGATGAGCCAATATTAAGGGTGCTCAGACTCAGAAATACTTTCACTCCTTTAATTCTTCGTTTATGAGAATTCAAGAAGCTTGCCCCAGTTCTTTTTGTTTTATTCCCTACTCTTAGTTTTTTATGTTCCTAGAATCCATAAGATGGAAAATATTAACTAGGAGAACAGTTTGCCCTTTCCTGTTATATGGCCTATTGAATTTGTTACAGCTCTTGATCTGTTTTTTCTTGGCTCTAAGCAAGTCACCGGAATCGCAGTCCCAGCTTCCCTGGGTGGCAAAGCAGCTCTGGTCAGTTGTTCCTTTTTGGGAGTTCTCTTTTTCTCCAGCAGAGCTATTGGGCTCAACCTTTTAAGTCAAAACTGATTCTTTTCCTTGCCTTGTTCAGCTTGGATACTTAAAGAGCCTAAGATTTTATGCACTAATTCTTACTCTTYGGTAAGAGACTTACTTGGCAACTGGTATCAGCTGGCACTGCATGACTGCCTGCTGCAGCCTCTGCACAAATGCATGCCGCATTGACAAGACTTCCCCACTTACCTGAACAAAGCAGGTGATCAGACCAAGAAGGCACTTTCCTTAGAGTCCTGGTACCCGTACACCTACTATGCAGCTTCTCCCCTTCTTACCATAGTTTTTCTCGTTCTGCACTACCTAAATTTGGTAATCAAAACCAGGCAAATCATATATTCAGGATTTTTATTAGCTTTCCATGTGAGCATTACAATTTATAATACATCATACCTACTTTCAACTCCAGAATGATTCTAATTTAGTACATCATGGTGTTAGTAAAAACAAGCCTGATAAGTGGGCTAAACTTCCAACTAGGATTTCAATATCCTTCAAACAAGGCGAGCTAGAATGTCAATCACTTCACAGACATTTAGGTAGTGTTTCCCAAAACAAAAAAAAAAAGGGGGCGGAGGGGGCAAGGGGAGAAAACACAAGAACCCAACCCCAAATTAAACTAGAAGCAGATACAATTTGAAGCAGAAACGATTCATTTGGTCACCCATCCCCCCCGCCAGCAGAATTGAAGTACCAGCTACGGTTATAAAGGACGTGGTGCCTCACCATGGTTGCGGAGCCTCAGTTAAAAACCCTGGAGTCAGTGGGGTGGGGAGGGCCGGCCGTGGGGCAGCCCCTCACCGGTAGCCGGGCCCGGGCTGGGTGTAGCCCTGGCCGAAGGGCGGCCGGTTGCGGGCGTAGGGGTTGGGCCCGCTGGGCGGCGGCGGCGTCATGGTGCTGCCCGGCGGCGGCGTGAAGCCCGGCCGCGGCTGGAAGGCGCCCGGCGCCGCCTGCGCGCCCGGGGCGCCGCTGTAGGGCGCCGCCGGCGAGGCCTGCGTGGTGTAGGGCTGCGGCTGCGGCGCGTAGCTGCCCGCCGCGTACGCCTGCTGCGGCGCCTGCCCCGCGAACGCCGCCGGCGCCTGCGCCGCTGCCGCCGCCGCCGCGGGCGCCGTGTAGGCCGGGAACTGCTGCGCTTGCTGCGAGGGCGGCTGCTGGCTGTAACCTGCTGGAGAGGCAGAGAGAGGCACCTCAGGGCAGAGCGCAGAGCAAGGCCGCGAGCTKTCCGGGCGGTTCTTCCTTCCCCGCCACGCGAGCCCGGCGCCCGCTCGTGGCGGCAAACCGCCAGCGGCGGCAGCGCGGGGTGAAACCGGCTCTGCGGCGGCGTGCGGGACGTACAGCAGATGGGAAGCACAGCAGATACACGGGATATGATGTATCCTCAGCATCGCGCCGCGCCTGGAAAGCACAACCTCCACGGGCGAGCACACCAAAGCGCAATTCAGGATACGTTTTTTTTTTAACCTTCTAGTTTTTCAAGGAAAAATCAAAAACTAAAAGCAAGCTTATCATGGCTTAGTATTAATAAATTAGTACTTTTCTCACGCTATCATTGATATTCTGAGTTCCTTCGAGGTAGAATTCAATATTAAAAAAAAGTTCTGCAAAGCCATATACATTAGTGCACCCCTTCCATTTAAACATGTCCCAAACATGACTTGTCTGTATAAAAAACAGCTTCCAAAAGAAATTTCTCTTACTGCAAGCTTTAAAATCACAACAYGTCCTTTTATGAAGAAATAGCTACTTTTATCCATCGTGAAACACACCTCCAGCTACTTGCAATGAAACCTCTCCAGTGACTGGAATCYTGTCAGCATTAAACACCAGACACACAGAAATTACTAGAAGTGCACAGCCCTGGACAGAAAAGTAAGGATCGAAGGATGCGCTGGAGTAAATTTTGAACTCACCTTGAAACCGGGAATCAAAATTTACTTGTGAGATCAACTTTTGCAGGGTCCATTTCCACTACCCTGAGTAAATAAGCACATTCCTGCCTAAGGGATTTGCCAGAGAAAAGGGGGATTGATTCTGCTCTTGGGGAACATGCACTCAAAAGGAGGTAAATACAGGGACAAAGAGGAAAATGGTCTTACGAGCCAAAATTATTTTCAAAGGCTATTGCTAAAAAGTGCTCAGGAAGATGACTGTTAGAGATACTAGGTTAATCATCAAGTAGGTTAGAGCATCTCAGCCAAGACTTGGTGATGTTCCACTCTTGCTTGAAGATGTTGCTTAAGCCAGAATGTGCACAGCAACAAACTTCATAAAAAGGGTATGACTAGAAAGCAGATGGAAAAGCCTCTTTTTCTTTTTCCTCCACTCAATTTTAAAGTCTAAAAAAATCCAGGCAGGCTCCTCCTACTTCCAACAGTCCTCATATTTCTGCAGAAAGTAGACTTCACAGAGTCTGTCACTGTCTTCAATTTATATATGAAGGAGTGAGAAACCTGCAGGAATAAAATACTCCCAAAATACTTTAAAGACCTCAATGAAGAGTAGGTTCTCCACAGAGCACACAAAACGGGGCCAAGGCCCAAGTTTTCTAGGGTTTTCATCAAAGATAAACAAGTGAATCTGCTCCTAAGTTCTAAAAGCATCCCCATCTACACCAAAATCAACCTACTTTTACATGWGGAAGGTGCACGTCCACACAGACTATATTCTCAGCCACTTTGTAGTAAAAGGGAGAGTGGTTTTGGTCATCTTAATCTTGCATAAACCAAAAAAATGAGAAGTGGTTTGTACCATTTCATAAATCAAGTACTAAGCAATGAGAGCTTTGCCATGGAATCCACTACGTTCAAGCCTGCGCTGAGCTGGATTATGAAAAGTAGTTACTACATTCCAGCTTCCTCTAAAGTAAACTTGAGTTCAAAACTTTCTGTTTATTTCAGGTGCAGGCAAAAGCTAATTCAGCATACTTGACCATACTTGACTTTAGCACACTACTTGTGTTAAAAGCTCAGGAGCACCCTTGCTTAAGTTACCAGTAATATCTACAATTTCGAAAAATGAKTAACTGGAAGTTTTTTCTCAAATCATGTTATTTATAAATACTAATGGCTTATTAAAAGACAGCTCTAGTCGGTGTTTACATCATCAAATACTATGTGTGGAGGTTAACATGGATGCAAGAAATAGTGGCCCTCTTTATGTATCCAGTATTAAGAAAGTTAAATTTGGATAGGCAATTGTTTTCTACTGCCTTCAGAACACAGAAGTTAATCCCGACTTATGATTCATTTTGTCTACCTGTATTGCATTTTGCTGATGAGTAATGAMGCCTGCTATGCTCAAAATCAAGCAGCCCTGCAGTGTCTGAACTCCTGCTCTGCATTAAAATACAGCTACCCGCTGCGCTTCGACTGGCGGTTTGGGGATCGCCCTCGCTTCCGAGCGGGATCAAAGACCTTCAGCTGCCCTCGTGCTGCAGACGAGCAGGGCTCAGTGGCTTACCTGGGTACTGCAGGCCGTACTGCTGCTGCGGCTGCTGCGGCTGCTGCGGCTGCGCCTGAGGCTGCTGAGCCGGGTAACCAGGCTGCTGGTACTGCTGGTACATCTGGCCTGGGGAGCAAAAAACCAGTTTAACTAAAACTCCAGCCTGGGCAGAACCACTAAGGTGACAGGTAATATCTTAACAGACAGTTGAAGTGACGGAAGCAATCGGTCCCACAATATGTTAAAAAAATATACATATAATCTGAACACCCTTTCAAATTGTTCTTTGCTACCAACTGAGGTGTAACTTCCACTTCTATTTTCTGAACGAGGCCATGCTGAAGTATAAGTGATGTTCAGCTCCAGTAAAACAAATAGTTCTCAYTTGTTAAGTGATGCCTATTATTTCATGTTTTCAGAGGCCATAAGCTATACTTATGCACACTACTTTTTGGTGGGTAACAGAGCAGGCATCTTTCTTTGAATAACTTGAAAGCTGCTCGAGAACATATAGTGTAAATCATAGAATTCTGAAAGGTAAACATGTCCTTGGAGTGCCTGCTTATATCAGCATTTTAAGACTATTTCTGCAAAGTACTATAAGCACAGTGGTATATTATTTATTCTGACCACATTTACCAGACAAGTCATTCCTTAACATCTGCCTTCTTGTAAGCCAAGTTCTCTTAAAAGGCTCAGGCATATACACCCTGAAGCAAAAACAAAGCCAGGGGTTGTGTGTTCCAATTCAATGCTAATTTTTCCTAAATTCACTACTTCCAATTTCTTGGCAAGAAGAGGCAGAATAAATGTTTAGACTTAACTCACGCCCTGTTTAGGCTTCATGCTGCTGCTGCTTTTCATTTTATTAACGAGCACAGTCAAAGAACAACATTCCCTGCCAAAAGAAAGTTTAGCTGCCCTGCAGCAGACAGGGAAACTTTAGCAGTGAAGTGTCCCTGCACCATCATTCCTTCTGCAGCCATCAGCAGCCTGTGAGCAAAGTTCCTCTGTCTTCTGAGTTGCATCCACGGGTCTAGATAGTCAGAAACAACTCAGTATTGCTCCAAGCYTGCCAATATCCCTGTGTGCTGTTTTAGGGAAGTTCCCTATTTCCTTTTTTCTCTGCTTTATTCATTACTGAAAGCAGCAGTACTTTGCGTTCAAACTAAGACATACAGAATGTTTTAGGGTGGTAATAATACCTTTTTCAGAACTGCCATACAAGTACTGTGGCATGAAAAGAGTGCGGAGCACAAGGGTTGGAAAATATTTAAACCTGTTAGCTTGACAGTTGAAAATAAGAATGGAGAAAAACATATATTTATTTATATTTTTAAACTGAGTTGCAGGAGGAGCTTTTAGGAGAAAAAAAACAGGAGACGGCCCAGGAGACTGTCAGGATGGCCTAACCACCTCTAGGCTAGCCTACATACCACACTGACACCTGCAGGACAGGCTAGGTAAAGGGCTATGAAAGAAACATCCGATATTCTCCACTGCAAAGCAATTACAACACTACAGTACCTCAGTGGAAGCAAGAACTGCATAAACTGTGGACAAAAACATCTATAATCAGCACTACTGCACTCTTATACACAGGAAAATTTTAAAAATAAAGGACTTAGCTAGCACAGTACCTTTTTTTTTTTTTCGTACTGTCTACTTTTGCCTTTACTTGAGTTTAGAAAACACAATCAATCTACTCCAGCACATTAGCTTAGGCAACTTCTCTTTCTACACACTAATCCTTATATCAAAATTATTTTTTGAGGAAAAAAAAAAAAGGCTAAAAGCTGCAAAACAAGTGTTTTGATATGCTCCAATTTTACCGATAGCATTCATGCTTAAACACATGCCTGACAGCAAGCTGCTCAAATGCATCACTCAGCAAAATGTTACTTGCGCCCTTAGGGCCTTTCCARGATATTTCAAATGACTGTGGATACTGTTACCATTATCATCAATATCTCTTACATTTATCTCATCTCTATATAGGAAGCAGCAGAGCATGCTAACTTTTTTTTCATTAAAATACGGGAACAACCTTTTATTGTACTTTATATGGAGGTAAAATTACAGAATCAAGTTGTTCCACTGACTGAGTTTTATCCAGAGCTGTGCACATCTGAAGGCTCAGTGCTTTCATAAACCACAATAGAAAGTAATGTCAAAATGATACAAACATCTAAAAAAAAGGTTTATTTTTAGAAGTCAAATCACATGTGAAAGGGTATAACACCAAGAAAACTGAGTACCAGAGTCAAAAACTTAAAAAAAAAAAAAAAAAGGGCTTATTAAGGTACTCAAAAGAAAACAGTGATGCATACGTGAAGGTTATGTTACTACCTAGTCATGAGGCTTAAGCTGGCTAGCACAGAAGAATAAATAATAAATAGTAAATAAATAGTAAATAAATAGTATTTAGAGTTTATTACTACTTTACTATTTATTTTTTACTGTTTTATTTACTAGAAAGTAAAGTTGTTATAATAATGTCTGTTTTGCCAGACAGAAGTGGTTTAGTAACTATTAATTTATACTGACAAGCCAGTATCACTGATAAAATTTCATTAAGTGAAAACAACTGCTTAAATATGACTCAACATGCGGGGTTCTATGCTACAAACTAAGATTTTCCAACAGGTTTAAAGTGAAGTGTGTAACACAAGCTCCTTCGTAGTAAAATGAACATAGATACAAAGAGAAAATACTACAATGAAGCTTCTTTTTAGTATATGTGACCTACCTTTCTCCACAGGGCTACAGCTCCACCTGCTGTTTATACTAAGCATGTAAGAAATTGCTTTTTGCAGCATTTGGAGTTTCGGAATGAACTTAGAGCGTAGCAATTAAAGATAAATTCCGCCTGAGGCAGGGTCATTCCCATTTTAAAGAGTGGAGAAGGAGGCTGCTCACCTTCCACCGGAGCAGCCTGCGGCTGCGTCCCCGCGTAGGGCGGCTGCTGCGGCTGCACCCCGGGCGGGTGGGCTGCGGAGGAGGAGGACGCGATGCTGTCCGGGGTCCCCGAGCGCTCCTCGGCGGGGGCGCTGGGTGGTCCTGCAGAAGGATTGAATCAAATGAATGGGGAATCTGAATAGAGAGTGTCRTGCAAGAGCATTTCCTTACAGAGGTTTTAACAGAAGAAATTTTTCCATTCTTCCACAGATGTGTATCTGAGAATATCAGGCCCACAGTGAAACTAAGTATATTTACAACTCTACACTAGCATGCCTTTGGAAATAAYTTCTGGGGAGTAGTTTCCCACTTGCACCTAGGTCAAAGGGATAGATCTCATYTTCAGAGAGATGATCCATTTTGGGAATAAAATCCTCAGTAATAAGATGGTCTTTCTATAGCTTCATGTTTTAACTTGGCAGGCATGCACTGAAGATGACTTCTTACATTTGGACAGACTGCACACGTACATCTCYGCTCTTTCTCATCTGAAGCAGAGAAGACAAACTGTGCAAAATTATCCTAATGCAGCAGTGTTTTGTTGTGGCCTGCACAGGCCCAGGCAATTAGTATTTTAACCAATTCATACAGCATATGAACAAACAGAAAACTTGCAAAGTCTGTTTTATGTTTTATAGCTRCACTCCCAGACAGGGTATGGTAGACTTCTGTCTCAAAATGATTGCTTTCATACCCCTGAAAATATTCCAGCTACTGATTAGCACGCAGAGGAAGGTGATTAGAAGTTGTGAAATGCCTATGTGATTACGCACATTGCACTACAAATAAATAAAGAACATTCTTAAAAATGAAGATGCTTAAAACTAGACCCTTCTGTCTCTTATATTTGCAAGTATTACCTATGATTTCAAAGGCATCAAACTACATTTTCAGCACTTGTATTAGCATTTCTGCAAATTAAATTTTACACACAAAACTAAATACACACACACTCAAAGTTCTAGACTGAAAGCTCAGGGCTTATGCTCTCTCCTCCCTAACTTTCCACTCAAGTGATGASAATTTGGCATATTTATATGGAGGCTATTACAACATCCACTAAGTCAGAGCTCATTTCAGGTCAAGGCTGCAATTCTGAAGCAAGTCTGCCTGGCACCCTCATTTACTACACACTTCCTTTTACACAGGGGAACAGTCCAGGAGGACACAGAGCAGAAGCACATTTAACGTGCTGCAACTGCTAATAGGCCACTCAGTCACCAGGACTACACGAGAGCTAGTCAGGTCTTCCCACGCACGACACAGGTAGTGTGGGCACCAGGCCATCACTACCATTCAGTTTCTTTTTTGTTGCTTATGTGGACATAACCACGCAATCGATCTCCGGTTCCTGTTAGTGTCTCTTTCCCCACCTCAACCACCCAGTGTAAGAGCTCTACAAAGCTTGCTGTCATAGAGGCTGCAAGGTTTACATGCACAGAAAAAATAAACAAACAACCAAAAATACCCAAGCATGTCGAAGACCCACATTCCAATATGTTGGAAGAGTTTTACTACAAATAACATCTCCTGTTACTCCAAATAGCATCTGAAATAATCGCAATAACAACCAACATGACAAAACCACCTCACATTCAAAGGCTGTCAATGCTCATACTAGTCTACTAACACGCTGATATCCTGGAAGATACCACTAATGTAACAGATGTCATTTGACATCTACTATTCTAGTAACAGATCTAGAAAAATCCTAACCTTTTTTCTGCTTCAAGCATAGCTAAACTAAGAGCAGTATTTCACTGTTTCATGTAAGTCCATTTACAACATTTCAGTATAACAAGCTTTAGAATTTTGTAAAGGAATAGTGAATAAGAAACATTGCTGGATATATCCAAAACATAAATTCTTTGTACAAATGCAGATTTTTTAAAATGCTTGAGTCGTCTATTACAAACAAGTTTCATGCTCCTRTCTTTGGATACTTACCCGATACTTGATCATCAGTCAAGCCAAACGCTGACATGACATTCTTGCTGATTTCATCCTGATTTTTTAGCGGATCAAATGCAGACATGCTTGCTGCTATAACTTGAGTAGATGGCTTAACAGTAGAGTCAGCAGCAGCAGGTTTTTCTTCCCTACCATCCACAGCATCTAGAAAACAAAATGTCCCATTATTCATTCTTGATGTTTGTTATTAACTCTGAGAAACTACCATAAGTATATATTGCATTGCAGCAACTTTAAACAGATTTTTTTTAAACTCTGTATTTTAACCGTTGTAAATGCACATATTAGGATAATAACAAACACTCTACCTCCAAATGCAACCTTCATAATCCATCACAAAGCTTGTTTTATTGCACATAGTAACTTAAAGATAAATGACACTATGAAGTATCAAATCTCCCCCTTTGTCTCAAGTTCCAGGGTACAAAGCTACTGCTTTGCCCTAGTCTATCAGTATGCATTGTTGCCAGAGAATTTAAAATTAAGGATGCTTACAGCATAACTCCCAGCTTATACTATTGTCAGCTGTGTTCTGGCATTACCTTACTCTCCCCSTCCCTCCTGCCTAAGGCTGCAAGTGCAGTTCATCTCCATGTTCTTATACAAATAAAACTGCATCACCCAGAGACCTACTAACAGTGCTTTGTTCTCACTTTAATGACAAATACACAGTTTAAACTGTCTAGTTCTGCATCCTGCTCAAGATCATTATTCTAACCTCCTTCCAAAGAGTTCATAACCCTGGTATTCCATGGAACGAGTAACTGCTTATACTGTAGCAACAGTGCTTGGATTTTGGTTTTGTTAACAAAAGCATTSCATGTGAAACAAAGGTGCTGCTCTCTAGAAGAAAAGTTGAAGTTCTTCTTTGGCCTCTTTACTCAGGAACGTTGTAGTCCATGACTTATATCTAAATCTTTATTTTCTGTTTCTAGTTTCCTCAAAATCTGCAATTAAGAATATTTGAACAGATCTAGAGGTACAATCCTTCAGTACAACAGTCATAAGCCAGGAGTTCACTGTCTCAAAACCAGGACAATGAGACTTCCTTCCCCATTTYGCCCTCCCCTACAGTACTTTCCATCCCTATCTGCACCCTTGTGCTGCTTACCCTGAGACAGCTCTGATGCTGGTTTGATCAGAAAATGAGTAGACTCAGTTTCCTAACCTGGTAAAAAAAGCGAATATAGTTTTGCTAAATTAGCTTTTTGCTAACCTAGTAAATTAAACTTGCTTAGCAACAAGACAAGCACCAGAGCAGGCCCAAGTAAGCAACGAGAGCACTCAGATGAGGTCACGGTCTCCTCATTAATTCTGCTCAAGCTCTGTCAACACTTTATTCTGACTGTCAAGTGTTAGTTACAGTGCTTTGATCAAACTCGGAACTTTTATTTCTATGTTAACATAGTGCTTTACTCCAAACAATATAAACTCTGCCTCTCAGACAACTAAAAAGTTCCAACTATCAGGCAAGAACCTAGAAAGCCCACAATTAATACTCAAGACTCCATTTTTTACACTTTTAAGCAGCACACAATTCTGCGGAGCAAACGGAACAATTCTGACTGCCTACCATTTTCAGGCAGGTTAGCAGAAATCCCAGGCTCCGCGGGCGGCTCTAGACAGTCCAGCAAACGATTGACTTTATTGCGAAGTTCTATCAGTTCTCGACGCAGATATTTCACCTGATTGGATTCTAGGGGTCTTGGTTGTCCATTAACTGCAGAAGAGCAAATGAATAAATTTAAGACTGTAGATTTGTGATCCAGTTTAAGACTGTGGCGGAGCAGAGGGAATGAACACACCATTTTTCACTCTTGATCTTCTTCTTTGAAGAATTTACATTAACACACACTAAGTCAACAGCTCATTCTAGAGTTTACTATTCATTTAATATAATTTAGCTCAATGTAACATACTCTACCAGAACTGGAGAAAAAGGGTGGCAGTAAATTTATGCTCTGTGTATTCATTTCCACATGCTGAATACTACAAACATTAGTTCTCGTGGATATTTGTCCCTTTAGAAAGTGAACTTAAGCGAGCAATGTATGCAGCTAACACTACAACAATTCACGAGGGAACGATGATAGTTTTAATTTCTTTAAATTAAAATAATTTTAATTTAAAATAATTTAAATTAAATTAAACAAGAGGAAAAACTTTTT